ATTGTCGAGAGATTGCATTTCCTACAGTGTTCGCAAGTTGAAAGAAAAATTAAAAGTATTTTTGAGGGGAACCCTCGGCATCAGAGCTAACATCAGAAATGTTATTAAGCTGGTTCAGCTAAGCTAGAAGAAAATTACTGATTGCAAAAAATAACCTGTTTAGTTTACATATTTGAATACCTAAATTAATTTTAAAAAAGCAAAACTTGAGAATGAAACAATATTAATGTATTCAAATTAAAAAATCAGCTTTAAAAATTGTGATGAAAAATGGTTCCTTTGAAATATGTAGTTGATGTTGTATTTCGAATCTTAAAAAATAGCTTGTAGATCAACTTATGTGGGTACTTGAAAAAACATTTCATCTCATTTGCATCTAAAAATATCACAGGGTGTGAAAAAATGAGGGCTTAATGAGACTCAAAAAGTGATCGCGTATCCTTGAGGTTGAATTTAAGGATTTCCATTACCTAAAGTTTGAGTAACTTCAAAAATGTACTTTGCATTCCTCGGAGAAAAGCTATAAATTTCTCCATTTGAAATAATATATATCTGTGAACAAATTCTTTTATGCCCACTATTAAGAACTTATATAAATTATCTTTGAAATGAACTATGTGTAGCTTTTTCGCCCATAGACATAAATATAAAAAAATGTATTACAGAAACAAGCCCACATATCTCATCGCAATAAGAATTAATATATGTATTACCAGGGCCCAAAAAATGTAAATATTGTGGGATGGCATCGTTCATTATAATCAGATGACGCGACAAGCTGTGAGAATAAATCTTTTACTTTTCCGATAATAGAAGTCAGACGATTCCGCCATTAAGACGATGACGCGATTCAAAGATGTTTGAATGTAAAGATGATTCCTTCTCTTCGTTTGTAAATAATCTCATCTATTTCCTTCTACGTATGTAATTACTTTGTAGTTTGTAGCAACTATTCATGTTTCATTAAATATTCAAGTTTTACATAAATCGGACTAGTTTATTAGCCCCTAGACAGCCACATCGGATGTAAGTTTACGAACATCATATTCCTAGACAGTAAGTACCGATTCTACAGATTTGGGCGCTCAGGCCGGTATGAGCCTAGGAAGAAGCATTATGAATATTACAAAAGAAGAGAAATCCCTAGATGAGATGGTGGTGCTACGAGAATGCGAGGCCGCATTCCATCAGGATGGACGAGCAGTTGTGGGATGGCATCGTTCATTATAATCAGATGACGCGACAAGCTGTGAGAATAAATCTTTTACTTTTCCGATAATAGAAGTCAGACGATTCCGCCATTAAGACGATGACGCGATTCAAAGATGTTTGAATGTAAAGATGATTCCTTCTCTTCGTTTGTAAATAATCTCATCTATTTCCTTCTACGTATGTAATTACTTTGTAGTTTGTAGCAACTATTCATGTTTCATTAAATATTCAAGTTTCATAAATCGGATATTTTTGCCTAGAAGCCACATCGGATGTATTACGAATCATATTCCTAGACAGTAAGTACCGATTCTACAGATTTGGGCGCTCAGGCCGGTATGAGCCTAGGAAGAAGCTGAATATACAAAAGAAGAGAATCCCTAGATGAGATTGGTGGTGCTACGAGAATGCGAGGCCGCTTCCATGATGACGAGCAGTTGTGGGATGGCATCGTCATTTAATCAATGACGCGACAAGCTGTGAGAAAATTTTTACTTTCCGATAAAGAAGTCAGACGATTCGCCATTGACGATGACGCGATTCAAAAATGTTTGCTTTAAAATCGATTCCTTCTCTTCTTTTGTAATAATCTCATTATTTCCTTCTACGTATGTAATACTTTGTAGTTTGTAGCAAACTTCATGTTTCATTAATATTCAATTTTACATAATCGGACTAGTTTATTAGCCCCTAGACAGCCACATCGGATGTAAGTTTACGAACATCATATTCCTAGACAGTAAGTACCGATTCTACAATATTTATAATAATATTTATTTATTTTTGCAATTAAGTTATTTTTTTTTCAATGGCGGGCAGCCACTACTGAAGCCGGAAGCGGTGCTGTGGTGGCTTTAATATGGAGGTGGCCACCTTCTACGTCGATTGTTTTCTACGAAGAGACAGACAATTTACATCCATGCCTTCTCTGGCATTCGATGTCGAGTCCTTCGGTACGACAGTCACAGTCACTAACCTCATTCCTGTCTGAGCAGTCCATTAAAATTATTGTTTTTTGTATAATCAGTAACTGTTTTCTGTAAGAAAAATTTTACTTAATTTATTATTATATTTTCAAATCATAATTTTATCAAATAAGTGTTTTAAGTACATAATTACAGAATCGTTCAGCCAAATCTGATATTTTATTTCATATATGCGATATAAAAACAATCTCAAAGATCAGTCAATGACGATGTATAGTTAGAAGTATTTTCATCCTTTTATTTCAGTTATTTCGTGCTTGAGGCTGCATAAGGGGACTTATCTAAAACGATCTAACTGGAATGCTTATTCATAAATATTTGTAAAAAGATCTTATGAATCGTATCCCTAGAATGAAGCAGAAGAAAATAACCATGTTAATAAAAAAAACTCTCTTCAGAGTGTTGTGATATTATTTATGCTTGTGATGTATGGCCGGAAAAAAACGGGAAGTACTGTTCTACAGTATGAGCAATTAAAACATAATTGCAATATGAACCAAAAAATATACATAGCTAACTTTGTTATTGTTCTGTTCAGTTTAAATCTTAATAACCAGTACCTGACATGGAATACCTTAAGACATATCTGAATTTCATCTGATCTAATTTAAAATTTGCATGAACAAAAATAAATATTTCAGTTAAAATTTAAAATTAGTGTAAACAGCTCGCTCAAAATACAAATCTGTATTTTAAAATACAGTATAATTAAGTAATGTCTAAAATTAGGAACTACACACATTTCTACTAGCTTCTACTTGATCACTACTTAAGCCCTATTCTGGATTAGATGAAAGGCGACTGAGAGCATTGGCTGTGTATAGATTTTCCTATTAAATCCCACTACTCCCTTGCAAGAGTAAATTATTTCAGAACTTCCGCCTCTCCAAGGTCGCTTAATCTTCGAGAAGAGTGGCAAGTATATCATCATGTTCTTTTATTTCTAAACCTTTTGTTTTGGTAAACCTAGAATGCAAAATGAATGCTTTTTAGCAAATGTTGTGGTTTTCTTTTTTAATTCCCCGAAAGGGAAGACATCTTACATTAATTACGATTATATTAAATGAAGGGTTAAAAAATCAATTACTCGTTGAAGTGTCTTAGTTGGTTTTTAATTGTTGCTCAAAATGATTCATCCAGGTTTAGAAGTCTACATTTTTTCTGGAAGTTTACCAATGCAGAGTGATACGCAATTTACAGTTTACAAAATAAAAGATATTTGAGATTAATTTCGAATTCATCCGCAATCCTTTAGAGCTAGCATGTGAAACGCGCGAATCTTGACTTATTTTTCTGCGGCTCTCGGTTCATCCAAAGAAAACCAAAAGTATGTGATTATAATATATTAATAAAAACTGGAATTTTACCCAATATCCAGATGTACATGAAACCTCGAATGCTAGAAAGGACTCTCGAAATGGTCTTTATACAGCAATATTTTCTTTAAAAACGTTAAGAATGTGCTAGCCCATTTATAGATTATAAGGTAAAATTAATGCTTCCATCTCTAACAAAAACAAGAATGATAGCACATTTTATTATTGATCCTGGTTATCCAAATCTGTGATTTCTACCAATCATGGTAATACTGATTGTATGAGCACACTTTAATGTAGACGATTATACATCTACGACCAACGGTGAATTTCTGGCGTCTCGCTCACTTTTACCTGTACTTGTTGCTGCTTTCTATGCTTTGCTCTAATGAATGGAACTAGAATTATGAAATTTCACTTATTTATGAGGCTGCCATGGAAGGGCACGCTGTTCGATTCCAGAGAACGATTTAGAGCAGCAATGATCCAATCTTCACCTGATATCAATTAACTTGCCTTAGGATTAATGGTTTCTATTTTAACCACTTGTATTTAAATTGCAGAATAACTTTAACTATATTATTAACATTCAACTAAAGAATTCATTTCGCATAATAAACAAACAGATATGTTGAATAATGGTAAGACTAACCAAATATCTCTTTGATTGCTGAAAAATCATTAATATAATGTATTAATATAACAGAAAATATGCATTTTTCAGTTATTAAGTAAGTTATGAAGCATGAATGTATTTTAATGCGTTAAATGTTCTTAAGCTTTTATAGAGCTTAATAAAAATAAGAGAAAAATTACTCTTCGTTTCGGCGTTTCAGTAAATTGGATCATATACGTTTTCAATGCTAAGATCAATTGTTCGAAGCTTTTAATCAGAAGTTTATACAAAAAATATTTTCTATAAACTATTAATCAAAAATTATATTATTATTTACTCATTTTGCAAATTCTGCTTTTTTAATTAATCAACGCAGTAGACCCTATAAAAATATTTTTTAAAGTCTTGGTATTAGGCTGTTAGAGACTTAAGCTAGAAGCGTTATTGAGAAGGAAAGTTTAAAGAATGTTAATGAAACAACTTAAAAATCACCAAGAGTTTTAAAAGATAAAAGTTGCAAATGTATATAATAATCCATAAAAATTTACTAAGTAGGTACGTATTTTCAATTTTAAAAGGTAGAATTAACTGCAGAAAAAAGTACTAAACTGCATTATTACGTACTGCAAATGCAACAGTTTTCTATAATCTGGATTTCAATACTCCGCATATGGTCACTGCTGTACCACTGCTAAAGGCGGATGTCAAATTGCAGTTATGAGAGGGTGAAGGCTAAGCGGGATAAAATATTGTTGTCACACAATTCGGACATTAGAAAAAAAAGGGCGTTTATTGTTCGGAAAAATACAGAAAGTGGTTTCAAATATCCAAAAGTAAAAATGTATTCTTTTTTTCTCTTTTCATATATAGATAGCCAGTTAACAAGAAAAGCACCGCCATCTTACGCAGATGGTGTTTACCAGATGGCCGGTATGGACAGGCCCAGTGCACGAGCGCTCAGTCAAGCTCTTATGAAAGGTGCAGATGGCCTTTCTTCTGTCAGAAACCTCACAGTGCTCTTCACGTTTTTCGGTAAGGTATTTGCCTATTTCTTGTATTCTCCATAAAAGAACTATATCTAGTTTTATTAATGCAACGTAACATACGTTTGTAATTGTATATATTAGAAAATGTACAATAATAAATTGTTAGCGCTTGCATAATCATTGAATTAAATGATGATGGAAAATATGAAAAATCTGTGGTGAAGGATACGTGCTCACTGAGTACCATGTTTCTCCATGCAGTGTGTGTGTAATATATGAGAAAAAAGCAGACTGCAAAATGCTGATTTACTCCTGCAGTTTTCAACTTTTAAAGGAGAAATGCTTAACAGAATTGTCTTGTGTAACTCTTGAATAGTAATTTACTTCTTTTAAAGAGGTAATAGATAATTATTACATAGTTTTAATCAAGTAAAAAAAATCAACGTAGCAGTAAAACACATAATTCTTTATTCTTGGCATGAAGCCGTGCAAGTTTCCTGGAAATATAATCCCCTTCAGGAATGTCAATATTTAAAATGGAAAATACTTTACAAAATATGCTCTATATATAGTACAAAACTTTTTTTCCCTTTATTACATACTTCGTCATTAGGTACTTCACGTAAAGGAGAGATGCACTGTGGAGGACATTTTAAGGAAAATTGGCTCGTATCCTGTTTATACATGGGAAAAATCACAAAAACGCCCATGCAGCCAGCCCGTGCTTGCAGGGTCTCGAGCCCGAATCGAACTATCTGTGTTTAGCGGCTCTGATCGCTCGGCCGCTAGCGGGCCTTGTACGCAACTTGATAGGAGTTTTTTAACCGCTTTCAGCCCTAAACATACATTTATGAATTTCCGTATCTTCTAATATAAATCTATTCTTATTTTCTTCTCTTGTTGATTACCTTCGATCCTTATTTAGGCCAAGTAGCTGCTTCAGAAATCCTGATGGCTAGTGAGTCTGGATGTCCCATTGAGGTACATAAGATAGAAGTACAGGAATGTGATGACGCGTATGACAAAGAATGCAAAGGTACCAAAATGATGCCCTTTCACAGGGCACTTTATGACTCAAAGACTGGACAGTCACCCAACAGTCCTAGAGAACAGGTAAGAACATCCATGTGTCCTTCAGTTTTCAATGCAAATGTTTATGATTTTGTCACTCTATCTGGGCAAATCAACTCGAAATTTTTGTTGAGACAAATACGTTGCCACGTATACAAGACCAAAATCAAATTAAAGTTAAATTTTACCTGAATTAGCAATTCTCTGACATATAGTTTGCGTGTTGTATTCAGTGTTTGAGTTGAAGAGCTTATCTCTTGTAATTAAGTATGAATTACAGCGCAACTAGGAAGTCCTAGTTTTTCATCTACATTTTCACAAGATGTGACGCTTTAAAGCAATTTGCAGTAGTTGAACAAACAATACCCACTGAGGTCCATTTGCAAATGGTTAGGCGATGTGTCAGGAACAGCTATGTAGTACTGAATGACAAAGGATTTATTTCTGCAGCAGGACCCCTCCCCCTGAACTTTCGAGAATGCATTATCACATAATGGTATGTAACGACATTTTGAAGCACGTTAAACACTTCTCGAAGCATTGCTATGTGCCATGCAATATCCAGAGGCTCCAAAATAAAACACATTACCCCCTTGTTGATATGGAATTATTCAAATGGAACCGTCTCATTCAAATGTAACATGTAGTACGGAAGATCTCTGGCAAGAAAGCTGCAAAAGAATATTCAAAGAACTTGAAGATATATAAATCTGCATATCCAGTATGAGGATGCAAATAGATGTGGATCCTATGGGCCACCACCTAGGTGACTTAATTATTCATTAAGTTTATGTAGAAACATAGACACTTCTGGTTGGTTTATTTAATTACGACAAAGCACTCGAGAGCGTCTGCTCAAGAAGTGAGATGCCTTTGTGGAGGACTTTTTAAGAGAAACTTGCTGGTATACACGTTACCCATGGGAAAACCACGAAAACGCCCATTCAGCCAGCCGGTTCGCCGGGATTGGGCACTTCCCGTTCCTGCATGAAACCTAATGCCTTCTGAAAGATCTTTCCAAATTTGTCTTTAGTCTTATATACGTACAAAAAAAAATAGGTTGATGCAAACCTTTTTCTTCTTTTCCAAAACTGTAATAATTTTCTTCAGAGACGAGTTAAAAGTTAAATTCAAAAATATTGAAATGTCCTTTCATCATGCTTTACTTAAATGTCAAAGAACGAGATTTCAAATGGCAAAATTTAACGACGAAAGCAGCGCCCAATTTTTCATGTGGAATAAAAACTAATAAGTGTAAATCATTATTTTTAACGAAACAGAATGTTTAATGTTTCATTTCACAGTTTTAGGTATTTTGTAGGAAAAGCGAAGACTTTTCACGGTCTAACTGTTGTCTTTATGATAAGAACAATCCTTCAAAGTTTAACCTTCTGCATACAGATTCGATACATATCGCCATGTAGATGGTTGGTAGTTGCAAAAAGCTCGAGCTATTGTTTGAATAAAACATTACACGTTATCCACAATGTCATCGAAAAATTTAAAATCAGTTTCTCTAAATACTGGTTTTGTAGGTAAATTTTCAAAATACAAATTTATTATTCTTTCTTTTTTGAACATTCCAGGTAATCAAGCATGAATATTAAATTCACAAAATACTTGCATAGAAATCCTGCATTCAAAGAAATAATCACAGTATTGTATTACGTCATAGTAAATTAAATACAGTGTATGTAAACATGCGCAACTTATTTGTATGGTTAAAAACGTAAATAAAAATCTAAAAGAAATCGTTTTCATTATTAGTGCATAATTTGCTTTATTAGTGCATAGTGTATAATTTGTATGCATATATAAAAACGGCTTCTATATCATATAGTGCATTTAGAAGGATGTATTGCTTGATATGTCTATTTTTAAATATTTTAGGTGTTATTAACATAGTACGCCATTCATTAAATGTTGTAGAAGTTATTATCTAACTTCTGGTATCATAAAAAGGAGTTCAAAATAGAGGGTTTTCAATAAAAAATCCTGCCAGTTCAATCGATCAGTAAAATGTAAACCGAGATGCAGCGATGACATGCTTCAAATTATTGAAAGAAATTATTTCGTGAAAGAAAAGTTAATTTCTCGGAAAAATTTCTCCTAACCTCACGGTTTGTCAAAAGATGGGATAATCCCATTATGCACAATAGAGCCACAGAACAACACCTAAGAGACGTGGCAAAGCCTTATAAATATATGGGAACAGGAGAGAGCTGTGCACAGGAGAGTGGACTTCATGGGGATAGACAAAAGCCTCTACCATCCACCATTAAATCGGCTTAAATAACCCCCTCAGGTTGAATATCCGTGCTCTAAAGAATACAACGTAAGATTTGGTTACAGGACAGCCGTGAAAATGTAATCCAGATTGTCCTAAATATTACAACAAAGAAGCTATAATTTTTAACATTTTAAATAGTAGTATATAATATTTAAATAGTAGTATATTTTAAATAATAATTGCAGCAATTTCACAATGTGATTTCAGAACCACAAGCCGCGTCCCTTCCATAGGCCTTATAAGAAACAGACCAACCCAAACGGGTTTTCTCCCTTGTCTGACGCGTTCCCGGCTGTCACCTTGATCAAATCCGGAGGAGTAGGGACGACTTGCAGAAATTTAACAGTGGTTGCGTATTGCAGCGAGTATAATTGTTAAGAAAATTCTGGTTATAGCGCCCTATTTCACAAATCAGAATTTCTCCATATTTTTACTTTTGAACTGAGATTGATTTTTAAAAATTTATCATATTTATCAAGCATAATTAGCGTTCCAAATAATTATAAAGCTATTGCATGCTTTCAGGGCTGGATATTATTTTAGCTTTTCCTATGCTGTAAGGCAATTTGTAACTACTTCTTTTAGAAAATAATATTTTAAATCTGAACTAATAGAAAATTTCAAACAAGCAATTTTCTCTTGCAATTTTTATGTATTACATTTAATAATTAAAAACAGCTATGTGAACAAACGCCATAGGTTTCAATGTTAAAGTAAACCAGATCGTCCCTACTCTTTCTTGCGAACATGTCGGTGACGCGCGCCCCGCCCACTGGGTTAGTCTATTTCTTATAAGGTCCATGGTCCCTTCGGTATGACATCACCGGAAATGTCGCTGAGTGGTTTTTGTTGTCCTTTCTGTCCTTTAAGAACTGTAACCTTTTTTTTCCATAATAAATCTACACATGATATCACTTTATAAGCATGGAGCGGAATAATGAATTAACTGGTTTTTCCAATTAAACAGAGCCATATTTGTGCAAGCAACACCAGGGAAAAAGGAAAATAAAAAAAAATATTTTAATGACACGAATTCGAAATGTAAATATTTTTTGCCATTTAGAAAATCACGAATCACTATCTTGAGAAAAGAACGTAGCTTAGATATCTTAGATAGGAAACAGACTTTATTTCTTAATATGTGTATATATATGAATTGATTTTAAAATGTGTAGATGAAGGCGCTGGAACTTTAACAGCTTACGATAACTGCTTTGATGACCGAGAAGACCGTAGTGGCTTGAAGATGGAAGAGTGGAAAAGCATGATGACGCAAGTTAGCACAACGGATCTTGAAAAATCCCAATCTTTATTTTTTTTACGTATATCAAACCATCCTTTTGCAGATAAGATGTTTCCTAGTTATATATGAATACAGTAAGTTCCAATTTGAAGTACGACGTCATCTTAAGCATGCATACATGAAAAGCGTCTTGCCGGCAGGAAAGCTTATGCGGAAAAGGGAAGAGTGTCACAGCACTTCAGAGGAAGAAGGTTGGGAAGCGGAAACGTTTCAGTTCAGAGTTTTGGTTTACAATTAATTTGATTGAACAAGAGGTAACTGCATTAAAACGTTACGTAAATTAGAATAATCTGGAACCTGTAAGAAGAGATTAATTTAGGGGCAGATCACCAAATTTAGAATGTTAATTTTGAGGTCGCCAATTATTTTTTGAAACAGCTGTCATATTTTGTTATATCTTACATATACATATATATACACACATATATTAAGAAGTATATATATACACATATATGATAAATATATACATATACACAACACAACACACACCACATATATATATATATATATATATAATTCTGTAGATATCTTGAGGTTAAAAAAGCAGCTGCCTGTATACCTGAGATAACATAACGGAGAAGAAAAACGTCCATATTTGGCCGTTGATTCAAAATAGTTTTAGTTTCATGACAGAGCAAGCGTTGATAGACATAAATAGACTCACACATCATCATTTATGGGTCCGGGAAGCACTTCCACAATTTTATTCACAACTCGGGACAGTGGACGAAGCGGAGAAATAAGCAGTACACTTTAGCACAGCGAGAGGAAAGCAGGCAAGTGAGTGCGTATTTCAGCAGAGGCATGCTTTTTAAAAGTTGATTTCTTTAGTTAAATTTTGAACGATGATTGAACAAGAGCTGAGCGTATTTTAGGATTCATAAGATGACATAAGAAAGCACGAAACGTCTTAATTTCTATTTTTAGACCAGAAAAAGGAGATAGCCAAATTAAAATGAGGAATAAAAAGGAGTATTGCTAAATTAAAATTAACAGCTTTTTTTCATATTTTATATATTACACAGTGTTCATATTTTATGTGTACACAATGTACGTTTGTGAGTGTACACAGTGTATGTTCGTGTGTATAATCATTATGAAAATTTAAGTTTTTCTGAATTCGAAGTAGTAGTATTTACATGCAATATAAAAATGTAAATGAAGATTTTTGTGATTAATCGGAGAGGATATACGTGTATATATCATAGATATCATTGTTAAACTGTACCCAGAAAATGTTTAAAAAATTGTTTTTGAAACATAAAATGTATAGGTATTTTTAGAACAAGCTTCTTTCTGCGAGATAGTACATTTTTATGTAAACAATTGTATGATTTTCACTGTCTATATAAACTATGCAGGCATGACTAAGCAGCTATAACTATGTAACTCTCTTATTCAGTGCAGATACTACTATAAGAGTAGGAAAATATCTACAGTTCCTTTACAGCATTTCAAGCTATAAATTGGAGGAGGAAAAAACAATAGGAATGTATAACAAATTATCTATTAAGTAATGTAATTCTTTGGCCACCCAGACGATATAATGATTAGGGAAGGCTGCTACGGTACCAAAGACCCGGGTTCGAATCCCGGAGAACGCGTGTATGTATGTTGGCTGTCCCTTCCTAGGAGGTAACGGTGGCTGCCTATTAAGTGAGTCCATAATAAAATGACCACCGCTTCCTAAAAAAAAAGTAATTTTTTTATACATATCAAAATGGTGCCCTCTTTAGAGTTGCACCTAGGATAGAACTCGTAGACATTAGCTTGCCAATTAATCTGTTATCTTTCTTGTGCTGAAAATACACAGGATGGAATGTGCTTCAAGCTATTACTCTTTTATTAATTTATTAGCAATCGCATTATGCATATCCGAATGCTTTAAAGTGCTGGCACAATACCACATGCAGTTGGAAGTTATAACTCCGAGTAACTTCTTTTGCTGTTTCTTTCAAATACCTCAGATACCTTTGCTTGTGGTTTATGTTTATGGTACTTACATTCCATATTCTGCCAGCAACTCAACAACACTAATGCAATGAAGCTGTAATGCAGCAAGGGAATTCCGATAAATTACAAAAGCCATGAAAAGGTTAGTAGAATACAAATGCTTCATTATTGTGCGACTTCGAGATAATCGAGTGTCTTTAGGCTAAATGTTAACTCGATTCTAAAAAAGTGAAAATGCATAGGAATTCGTACTCATTTGAAATCCGGTTCTGATGTAGAAAAGGGCTTTGAACTTCGAGATGAAAAAAAGAAAAAAACTATGTTTATTAATTTGTTTGCTAATGACAGTTCACAGCTTCTCCTGAACTTGGAAATACAGAAATCATAATCAACTCTTTCTTTCAAATATTTGACCCCTTTTTTGAATGCGTTTCAATTTCCATTGACTTGAAGCTGGTAGAAAAACCTGTGTATGATTTTCATTTATTTTCTCTCTTTTTCACCATTTTTTAGGTTACTGTAGGCTTGCATATTTTCAGAATTGTGAAAATTTATACCAAAATTTCATTTCATTTTCTTCAAGACAGTGAACGTACTCTGTCTTTCCAAGCTTTTCTCGTCCTTTCTTAAATAGTATTTTAAATATAAACTAAATAAAAAATCAGAAATTAGCTTCTAAACTAAAAGACAAACTCAAACCAACTACAAGAAAAAAACTTAACTATGCAACAGATGCATGTTTAGAGTGGAGAATTTCTCACTGAATTTACCTATACATCCTTATATTCTTATATTTATACTTTTTATTACGTGTAAAACACATATAACATATGTATCTGGGCACACATATATACAAAATGTAAAAGAAGTTTATAAAATAGTTATGCTTATTTATGATTCGGAATTATAATTCATGCATATCCTACTCATATCTATTCATACTACTCATTTATACATAACTATAATTCATGCATTTTTAGGTATATTGGAAATTAAGTCGTGTTCTACGACTAAAATATACGATTACGATTTTACACAAAAGTAATTTATCGTTTGAGCGCTAGAAAACCATTTGAGACTTTTAAAAAAAGCAGTTGTCATGGAATACAAATAAAAAGAAGTTTTACTAGCAAAATGCTATATAAATGTTTGTGGCGAAAATCCTCCAAAATGCAAAATTTTCATCATTATAATTTAACATCAAATATACATTATTAACAAGATGAAAGCACAACTACAGCCACAACTTATCAAGTGTACTTCTATTAGATTTACCAAAACCATTTGAATTACTACGCTTAAATACTTCTAATTGTTGCCACATCCTTTAATACTTCAAAGCTTTCATTGACTTACGACTTCATACAAACCTAAGCATATTCTCAGTCTTTTACTTATTATGAGCATATCTGTAAAGTTCCTTTCTTTTGCAGCTAAACCAGATGACTAGTTGGATCGATGGCAGTTTCGTATATAGCACCAGTGAAGCCTGGGTAAATAGCATGAGAACATTCGAGAATGGGACCTTCAGAACAGCCCCTGGAGGCAAATTCCCTCCAAAGAACCACGATCGTGTGCCTCTCATCAATTATCCTCCAGCTAAGTACCTGGGCATGCTGAATCCTGAAAGGATGTATCGTAAGTTTCAAAGAATTTCTTTATATTGTATGGAAATAAGCGAATAATAATGCCTCAATACTGTTGAATTAAATCATTCATAATGAAATGGCAGCATAGGTTTGTATCGAAATGCTCAAAATGACTTATCATGCTGATGAGTTTTTTTAAGATAAACGTTTAAACAAGAAAATGTGGCTTAAGGATCTATATTAAATCTTCGGACATTAAAAAGAGAATTATTCTTTTATGGGGAGAAGGGAAGAAAAAAATACAATGGCGCTGTCATTTCGTAGAGAACCAACCATTCACTCACTCAACTAATCTCAGTTCCGTGTACGACAGTCGGAGATTTATCGCCTCATCTTATAAAAATAAATGTGCACAGAAAAAGGTTTAAACCAGTGGTCTCAGACTTCAGAGCGGAATGCTCGATCTGAAAACAGCTGATGGGTCAGATGTTTTTAAATTTATTTTTAACAAAATGTAAAAGTTTATTGATAAACTAAAAAATATTTCAAGTAAATTTAAAATTTCGCTTGCTAAATATATAACAGAACATATATAAACAATGATAAAAATATCTCAAAAGAAAAAAAATCAAATTCATATTTATTTTCTATCTGAAATCTGGAGTTTGGTAGCTTTAAGACATTTTTGTTTGTTACAGTTTGTAATTAATATATCTTGACAGCTAAATATTAAATTCTTATGCTGACAGTTCTTTCAAATAATTCCAACAAGTTTAATTAATTATTCAATAACTTACTTTAATTTAAACTAAAAATAAACAAATCATGAAAACTTTTCTAATTTTTCAGAGTAAATTTTCCATGTGGTTCAAAACTTGAGAGTAAAAATTAATAATTTTAGTGTTTTTTCTCTTAGTTTTTTCATTTTTTTCGATGCATAAATGAAAATACATATATTTGTATGTAAATGATTATAAATGTCTTTATTTCTTGCTATAGCTTGACATTTGACGGCGTTTCGATTCTGATAAAGTTTGTTGCCTTGTTGGGATAAATTAAATACTGCAATTCAATTTCTGGCGTTACAGTTTAATTATGCTTTTAATTATACATTTAAAATGTGTTAGCTGGAAAATAAATTGCAAACGTGTTTCATCTACTGCTTGTTAAAATTAAAAGTTTTTGTTTATTTGGGTGAATATGTTTAAAATATTGAATTTAAATTTAACAAATAAAAATATCATAGATTTTAAAAAGTGTTGCAATTCTATTTATTTTTAAGGATTTAGGAAAGAAAATATCAAGTTCATTAGAAAAATGATTTGCTGAGATGGTTTTGTACGTTGTAGTAAAAAAAAAAATGTAGAATTACAGTATAGTCTCTCTTCTCCAGGGTTCGGTTATTCGTCATTTCATTTTATAAAACACACCATAAAAGCAGAAGTCATACTAGAAATTAATACTTATGTCATTAATAAAAGTAATAATATAGAAAAATAAACCAAGTTAAGTAGCATTTTGTAAAATAAACAAACATAAAATAACTTATTGATTTTAATTTCCTTTAACACTGATAATTTTGTATTTTTTTCCTATTATGCTAAGTATTTTTATGCTATGCGCTACTCATCATAATGACCATACTTCTTTCAACGAATTTGCTTTCATTTTTAAGGCATAAAAATAATAATATTACGTAGCGATTTTATTGATTAATAATTTTATTTGTCTTTTATTGCTCTAAGTTTGTAATAAAATATTCATTTGTTCAGCAACTTTATTTTAATAATTATTCTTTCTGCCATACTCTATTATCCGACATATCTGGTTGTCTAACCCAGCCAGCATTTCATCCTATTTATGTCGAAAATAACTTGGGCTATATTGTGTTCAAGCATTAAACATTCATCAGCTTGTATATATTTTTTTCGAACATCAAGAAGTAAGTGCGTATGTTAAAATAATAATAATTGGGAAATTTCTCCATGATGCTAATAACAACCGTTTAGATATTCTGGTATAACCGCTTTGTATTTCTTCATCTTTGGAAATTAATTAACCCATCGAACAGCCTTCATGAAAGGAAAAGAGCGCTTAAAAACCAATAAAGAATTTCCCGCTTTCTGGAGATTCATTTACACTGCACAAGGCAAAACGTATTGTGTGAATTAATTCACCTTTCAAGAAGATTCTCGTGCTCATCTTGAACATCATGCTCGTATTCAAGTGCGGACAAACAAAATCTACCCCTTTCAAGTTTTTGATGAATGACACCAATATTGCTATCAACCTTGGGAACCTAAGCATTAATTACTGTTGCAAATGCTCGATTTGACAGATTATTTACTTGACTTCCAACGCCTTTCCAAAAGGTTTGCTGGAGCACTAACTGGCTTAGCAAGGAGTTTATTAGAGGTCGAGTGATGATGACATCAGTTGTTAGACGGAGCTATTAATTACAAACTCATATGTTTTTCTGAACACGTTGATCACGCTTTTATTGAGTCAATGACAGCAATTTACTCTCAAGCACATGTTTAAATAGAAATTCTGACTTGGAAGACGCATTGTTGCAATTACGAAGAGAAATTGGTTGCCTTTGCAAGTTAATAATCAATTTTATTGCGTTTTGTGTATCATTTGCCTTATTCTGTAATCTAAAAAAACAATAACCATTTTTTTAATTAGGAAAATACAATATAAGATTGGCTTTATTGTAGAACGAATTCTCAGTGCATTTCTAGACAGTTTAGAACAGCGGTCGAACCCTTAGAACTTCACGGACCACTATATATATAATATTATATTTGGCGAACCACTAATATGAATTAAAAAAAGGTAAATACATTTATACGATATAATAATCAGCAAACTACACATGTTTCTTATCTCTGAAAAGGAACTTCACGAAAACCAAGAACAAATCGGCAAACACAAAGCAATATCAATTATGCCCCCAATTTTGAATTATTGTAAACATAATAATAAATCATCGCTTACTCAGCAATGGCACCATCTATCAACAGTTAGACAAAACAAAAACGGAAACTTCCAGTGATGGATAAACAAGAATGCAGTTGGTTCTCATAAAAATCCATCAAGTTGCCTATTGACGCAGAGTAAAACTGTGTTATTAACGACTACAATAGCATATGTGTGTAATTCAAAAGGAAAGAGAATTCCAGTTCGCGCTAATATTAATAACAGCAGCATATCCATGGATGCCAACTCTCACTTTCAAATGTCGCTAGGTGTACCTGCAAAAGTAGCTAAAATGTCGCAGTGGCTAAAATTTAAAAAAAGTATAATCCATATTCTATAATAGATTTTGTTAGTCGTCATTTTTTAAACTGAATCTTCATAAAAATATAAATAATGTCCCCATTTTTCTGCGGACCAGCAAAAAGTTATCACGGACCACTGGTTGGCGACCGCTGGTTTAGAACAAGTTAAAGAGCAAAGCATCTTTTTTCGAGAACTGTTGCAAGATTTGCTTAGTCAGTTTCTGTAGCAGAAAATGAAATAAGCATTTAGTAATGAAAGCTTTTAATGTTAAACTAGTCCCAATTTTCTTGCGCTTCAGTACTAATACAGGAAATAATTGTTTCAAATGTAGGTTTGTTTTCTATGAAATATTTTAGTACAATCTTCTTGAAACAACATAAAAGCAGTTCTGAAAATTATTGTATGTCACTGAATTTCCTTGTTGAAATTGGGCCCAAAATGCTCTCTTAATTAATTAGTTTCTTGGTATTATTTAAATAATTCATTTAGATTTAAATGTGTCATCCTTGAATCCTTGTCATCCTTTAAATGTGTCATCCTTCATTTGATTGCTCGTCGTAAATTTATTTTGTTAATACATTTGGAATTTCATTGCCAGAATCATTATTGCCAGTATGATGTGCTGTGCATTATCATTGTTACCTTCAAATTATAGCGATTCGATAGAATAATTTCTTTCCTTGGAGGAAAGAAGCCTGTTAAAGATTGTTTCTAAGTGCATAAACAACTTCTTTAAAATTAATCCGAATCTAATATTGATTGAACGTAATTGTTTTAGATTTCGCATTTTTATACACAGTTGTTCAGTTCTATTTTGCACAAAACTTCATTTCTTTTCAGTATTTCCTAATCTGATAATAAACTCTAAACTAAATACATTTTCAAATTCTGTCGTGACATTTAAATCCAAACATTAAAATGTTTCTTCGACACGGAATTGGGTCTTTAAACTACTATAGCAGGAAAGCTCTTGTTAGAATAAATAACATGCTTCAACTTATCATCTTAGTAATGAAACGGGCAAATCTTCTCTCAAAGAGATGCTATTTTCAAAATAAATTTTGTATAGAAGAATGCAATGTTACTTTAGAGAAACTTCAAGAAATATCAGTTTTCCTGAAAACGCTTTTTAGAACTTATAAGCTAGTAGCATATATTCTGTTGATGTAACAATTACATAATGACATTGGTCCTTTTAAAATCTGAGATTTCTGTGGGTAATTTAATCCGATAGTTTTTAAACCAATGAACAGCATAAAAGGATGAAATATGTATATCATTACTGTCATTTTAGTACTGAAGCATTTAAATTATAATGCAATCGTTTTGACAAGTATATGATTCATACAGTATTGTTGCATTTCATTTGAGTTCTAACAACGCTTAACCTTTAGATCGTCATCAGCAAGTTCAACTTGCATTCCAGTTACGCATCGCACTGGACGCAAACGACCACAATTCGCATTACAAATTTACGATTGATAGATATCGCGTGTACTTGGGAAGAAAGGCTTGCTTAATCTCACAACCGCCGAAAGATCAAAATAATATTATGCATTGCAGTGTATTTTGTTTTGCTGATGAACACGATTCTAGAAAGAAATTATTATTGCTGAGAGTTGAAATAAAACTGAAATGGGGAGGGAGGAAATGCTAAAATATTTAGAATTCTTTTAGTTTAGGTAGGCTTTCCCCATTCGATCTTTAGCTGGTATGGTAAAGTAAGATAAAAAAAATTTCTGAGTGTATTGTAACAGACTACTAAACAAGAATTTTTTTATTTTGTGGTATTAATTTAAACTTGTGTATTTCTTTCTCTCAGTTTTGGGCGATCCCAGAATCAACCAGAATCCAGCTCTTCTATCACTAGGGGTTCTTTTCTACAAGTGGCATAATGTGATGGCTGAGCGTGTTCAAGCTCAGCATCCGGATTGGTCCGATGAAGATATTTTCCAGAGAGCCAGACGATGGGTCATTGCCAGTCTTCAGGTATGGTGAATTTTTATTTATACCTAAATGTGCGTAGAATTGCGCATCACATTTAATACCAGTAGCATTTTTACCTCGCAAATTTACATAGCGTGTGATTAGAAATTACTACTATAAAGTATAATTTATAGTATAAACTATAGTTCATAGTAGCACGATACAAATATAAATGGATACAGATAGAAGTAAAACAAATAAAGATGAACCTAATAACTATAATTGTGTTCGATGAAATGAATATAAACTCAAGATAAATTGGAAAGAAACGCGATAATATAAAATTTTAAATCACGCAAAAAATGCTGTCTTAATTTGTCATAACTTTTGAACTGAGCTCTACGATTTGGAGGGCGATTAGACACAGTTTCCTCTTCTTTAGAAGTATAAAATGTTTTGAAAAATAGGAGGAGCGACCATCTTTTTTTTATACAGAAATTAGCGGGATGGTGAAAGCGAACGCGAACGTAACTCCATATAACAAGGAAAGTAACCGTGAAAAGTGAAAGACTTAAGTAGCAGTATGTCGAAAGCATTCAAGGACTAGACTGGAATTAATATCATCAATTTTAATAACTTTCTTTAAAAAATTTAACTCCTTTTTAAATTGGGGTCCTTCTGGCTACTTTTCTTCAGTACTATTGCAGACACATTAGGTAATTTTTGAAAGCAGGAAAGATGAAAAATGAGCAACGCATTCGCCGGGAAGGAAACCACGGACCTCTGGAATACGCACCCAGCATGCAGACCACCACACCACGAAGGCATGCTAGGAATGTGGGAGAAATACCTTATATTATACCCATTTATATTTCTACATAGTTTTGAGGCTTTCGATGTGCATAGTAGTTTCTGCCTTTAAACAATATTTCAAAGTAGTAAGTTTATATGAAATTATTCGATCTATATATATCCCCATGAGAACTCTTGAGAACTCACTATCCATGTGTTTACCCAGCTTTAATTTTACCAGCTAATGTAAAAAGCACATTCTATAAAATGCGGTTCCAAAATCTGTTATTTGATATAAATTTTTTAACATCTTGTCTGGGTTTTAAAATAAAGTCAGTTTGATGTGACCAAAATTACGGATAAGTTACCAAAGATTTAACGTTACGTTAAACTAAAAGTTAAATTAACGTTAACTTAACTTTAAACTAAACATTAAGTTAAGGTTAACTTTAAACTAAATGCTAAATTAACGTTAACTTAACGTTAAACTAAATGTTAAAAAATCTAACTTAGCGAAATTACCACATAAAAAAATTGTCCTGTGATAGGAAAGGAAAACTTGATAGCATAGATACATGAGAAATAAAGTTATAAAAGAACTTGCAGTTTATTAGCTAAATGGATAGACAGAAACAAATATTGCAAAGATCAATGTCTTGCAATTTCAACTATAGAAGTAGATTTGCAATGAATTGAAAGAATTCTTCCGTATGTCTTTGTAATGTAGTAGTTAGGACACCTTGCTAGAAATTTAAAGATCTCTATGTGGATTCCCGGCAATAGCATGTCTGATAATTTTCAAGATTCCTGCCTACGAAAAAAAATCTAATAATTCTATATTATGATCTGACTTTTGTACTATAGATCTAAATACATCTTGATGTAAAGAATTACAATAGATCTAATTCAGAACAGATTTCGGCTCAATACTTTGACAATAAAATCCAGTCTGAGATTCGTAGGTGATTAATTTTTATTGAATTATAATTTAACTGGTTTACAAACGAAATTCACCAAAGTTATCGATCTGCTTATGGATTTTTACAGTTTTCCTTGAGTTGTCGGTATCAGTTTCCCCTAGAAAGTTCTTCACAAATGCTATGCATTTTGATGCAGTACTCGAATTTTTTTGCAGTAATAACGCGGCGAAATTTTAGATTAGAGTACAGGCTGTTGTTTATTGTTTAAAATATATTAACGTTTTTTCAATACTTTAGTTAAACTTTAAAATTTACAGTCTTATTATTGAGTTATGCCACTAATTTTGGTATAATAAATACATATATTTGCATTATAAGAGTATACGTAAATAGAGTACGCAAAACGTGCAGGCTTCGTTTTTCAACAGATTTTAACTTGAAATTATGCTAAACAATGAATTCAATTTTAACTTTCATTCATCTATTCTTTCTTCACAAATTACCTTATCATAATCGCACAAATTTTGATCAAATAAGCTTATCCTTGTGTTTTATTTATCAAAAGATAAAAATGGCAAGTTTTATCACCAGCAACATTCCTTCATCCTCTTCCAAAAAAAAAGCAGCATAAACAACTAGTCATTGAATTAGTTCTTTCATTAATATTGATTGGACTGATTACCCGTTCCACCTTGAAATGGGTAGGGAATTTCCAAAGACACATTGATCAAATAACTGGAATACAGACCAGAAGGGGAAAAAAAAACTACATTTTGGAAGCCTAGCGCAATTATATCATCTGCCACAGAGTAGGTTTTTTTCACTGTGCTTTGTCCTTGTAGAAGTCACTTCATTTCGCTTCACACGTAGATATGATGGGCGGTGACCATGAAATAGCTTTCATTCCAGAACAGTGAGATCAATGATTTCAGATCCAGAGCGAAAGCAGAAATAGCTTTAATCCCTTCATTAAAAACGCAGTACCTATCAATAAACGAAGTCAGTTAACACTGCAAGACAAAAGGGTCGGTAAAACTAAGCGGAGTTCTTATTAACAGTATCAACTATTTGCTTGATCCCGCGGAAACAACAGAACATGATTTATATATGCACTATTCATACAAGCAAACGATCTTCGGTACTTGAGTATGCAGCTACGAAAAGTCTTTAATTACTTTAATAAGTAAATAAATAAATAATAACCCCGGAGTATTGATGATTCATTGTAAATCACGTAACAACATTAATGTATCTTTCAAATTGCAACAGCATATCGTTTATTAGTGCTGCCATTATGTTTCTTGATAATATTTTGATATTTCTCAGTGGCAATAAAAATATTTTTTCATTTGAACAGTAACTTCTGTGCAGTGGTTTCTTGTTATTTATAGCACTCAATATTTTGGTTACGTGTGAAGCCTTCGCTTAAAAAGGAAGCGATATTAGGGTTCGAGTGATGAAAAATCTTTCGAGGAAGCCAAGTGGTTGAAGGCCGCTTATTATTATTTATAAATACTTCTTTACTAATTTGTAAATACTTCTTTACTAACATTTATTCTAATATTTGTAAATACTTCTTTACTAATATTTATACTAACATTTGTAAATACTTCAAAAATATTTATATTTATTTGTAAATACTTCTTCACTAATATATTTATACAAATCTTTACCAATATATAAATACTCATCTTTACTAATATTAAGAAAACACTATAAAGTAACTCATTTTTACACTCATAAATATTTTAAAGATATAATAAATTTAAAGATAAAACAATAACATAACGATTTAAAGACATAACAAACTCATAACAATAACATAACAAACTCATAACAATAACATAACAAACTCATAACAATTTTAAAGATAAAAATAAATAAAGAAAAGAAAATATTAAAAAGTACGAGCGATTTTTTAAATCGCTTATTTTGTTAACCTCAAACGCAGTGCACTGAATAAATTAAAGATCTTATATCCTCTGTGAAGGCAAGAGCTCTCAGAAATAGCCGCGTAGATGATTAATGATGTCAGGGCGTAACTAAGGTAAGTTAAAGTCGCATAATTCAAAAAATGGGACGAGTAAGTTACAGATATTTTAATGCCAAAAATAAAGAGACATAAGAATTGGGAATTCACCAAATTTAGCACTGAGAGATTTTTCCGGATAGTTCATTTAGTTGCAAAATGCAAGAAATATACTTAATGACATATCTCACATAGCTTCAAAATATTAACAACAGCACACTTATCTCTTAGTTATTTTCCTCTTATTGTTGCAAGACCCTTTTTAAGCAAACATTCTTTAAAATGATTTTCATTAATAAAACGAAAATGAACAGCTTGTCATTAACGAATGTTAAAAACTCATGAAGAAGTATATACAGTCAAGATAATGTGACCAGATATCTCAGACTGAGGATTATAATCTAGCACATAAACGCAGTATCCCGCTTCAAAATACGTTCTGTGAATAAAGGTTTTGAGAATATTCTGAGTTATGTAATTGGAATAGTAAGATGTTTTCAAATCTTCTGCCATGTGCTTACCAGTGAATTAGTAGATAGAATATTCTACTGTTAGAGGTTCCTTTCCGGACAAATAAATTCGTTTATTTAATTATGGCAAAGCACTCGAGGGTTATCTATCTAAGGAAAGGACTTAATATAACTTAAGGCTTAATGTAAGACTTAACTGCTATGAATTTTGTTAGTGACACATGATCAAGAAATGTTTTTGTAAGGTCAGAAATGTAATCAATATTCAAGTAATTCTTATCTCTGCAAGGATCTTATGAGATCTACAGGAAGACCGGTTTGAGAAAGAATGTCCATATTTCTATTCCAGTGGCGTTTCGTACTTGGAAAACAGAGAGTAAAATCATCTGAGAAATTCCTAAAAACATTCTAATCAAAAGGTGTCGAACTGTAAAATCAATTTGGACAGTTTCATTGTAACATTTGAGCAAGTTAAAAAAAAAAAACTGTTATAGGTTTTTAGTTATAACTAAGTGATTTAATGTTCGAAATAACGAGTTAATTCGAATATTTGTGAGTACCAAGGTTCATTTCGATATTAGCTGCCGGAATATTTTACACCTACTATGTAAAATTAAATCAGCCAAATAAATAAATAAATAAATAAATAAATAAAAATCTGAAAACTTTCAGATTTTATATTACGCCTAAAAGGGGTGTTTTTTTAAAGTTTGGTTTGTTACCTTTATTTATGGTATTATATGGTATTAATATTATATATTTTTTTACCTTTTTTTAATGCTCTTCGCACTTCACCCACATAAAATTGAATTCAATACAAATATCACAAAATATTTAAAAACAGCAAAACAGCATATCTTTAGAATTTCCGATTCACAGTCTCGCCCTCTGAAGATAGAATTTTTTTTTTTTTTTTTTTTTTCCTTACACTATTGCTATTGCTCGCTCTGAAATCTGAGTTTGTTAATCAAAAATTCGTTAATGTTTTATAAAATTTTAATTAGATAATAAAACTAATTCGAAATTCAGAATTCGGGCTTCCAAGTGCCCATGTTCGTTTGGAGGACTACGTTTTTGATGGCTCTAAGTACCATCATTTTTTTTTTTGAGATATTATATTCATGCATTCATGTAGATTCATCATTATTTAGTTTCTTTAAATATAATATACGAAAAATATTTGGTGGCAAGAGTTTGAAAAGTGAATCAACGCGGACAGTGAAACGACGCAAAATACTGCTTTGAGACTAACAACCCTTTGGGCTTTAAAAAAAAAAAAAAAAAAAAAAAAAAAATCGGAAAGCTAATTAGATCTTATATTACACCCAGGGGGCGTAATCTGAAACTTAACGTTTTGTGTGTTACTTTTATTTATTAAATATCATAGTCGTCTCGCTTAAACCACATAAAATTCAATTCAACAGCAGTATAAAAAAATGATAAACAGCATATATTTATAATTTCTGATAGACAGTTCCGCCCGCTACAGGTTCCCATACAGTATTGAAATTGCTCGCTTTGAAATCGTTGAGTTTGTTATTCAAAAATTTGTTTTAAGTTGTACAAAATCTGAAATAGATGATAAAGCAAATTCGAAATTCAAAATATGGGCTTCCAGTTGCCCATGTTCTTGTGGAAGATTACGTTATTCAAAATTTGATGGCTCTAGGTACTGTCATTTTTTCACAATGCGAGAAGCATACACAAATTTATGCAGATTCTTCACTATTTAATTTCTTTAAATATAATACAGGGCGATAATATTTGGTGGAAACAGTTTCAACAGTTATATGCCGTTTATTGTGAACCGACGCAAAATGCCGTTTCGAGACTAATAACCCTTCTGGTTAACGCTCCTTTGAGGTAAAAATGACATCAAATATATCAAAAGATATTATCGTGTACATTATTATATCAAAATGCAAGTTTTGTTTTATTGATAAAGGATTTCGTAGCAAATGGAAAACTAAATTACACAGATTAAGATATTTTATTAGTGTCTACTCTTTGCTCTGAATTTTTCACCGTGATTTGGAATATTGAGGTGAATTATTCAAGAACAAAATACCCTTATTCTTGGTCAAAATACAGAAAAATTATATATAGAAAAGTTCAACTTTTGCTTTCAGTTACAGCCCTGAGTGCTTTGATCTCCAGCATTTGAATTAAAAAAAAACTAACTCACTGGCATTATAAAAACCACCTTTCATTTCTGTATCAATTTTCTTTTTATGTTTTTCTCGTGTCAAGTAAAAACATATTACTGGATATAATTTATAGGAGCTGAATAAAATATGTGCACGTGTTCCTGTATCTAAGCTAACTGGCAATTATTTAACTGAATTATTGTTTCCAGAAGTTCAATTATAAATATCATTTTAATTAAAATACTATATGCTATTAAGCTAGCTTTTGTTTATATTGAATTATATTGTGACACCGAAGGATTAATCCTAGAATTTATGCGCAAGTGGAATTATCTAGAATATCATTCACGAGTCTGCAAGAGCTCTTCAGCATTCATCCTTGATTGTTGTTGATTTTGCTCTGGAAAAAATACACTTAAGTATTTCTGTTGGAAAAAAAGTTTTATTGTTACTGCTTTCTTCTTCTCCTCTACTTTTTTTTTATCTGTGGCTTTGTGTTCCCTCTCCCTCAATGGACATTTAGAAGAGGAAAAACCACCGCGTGTTGTAGCCTTGAAAAGTGCCCACTTCAAAATGTCTTTAACCTGTAAGGTGGCTTCGGTTGTAAAAAGAATGACGTTTTGGTTACAAAACGAGAAAAAAAAATGAATTAAACGGCTGCGAAGGGAATAAATAAATAAATAAAATAATAATGATTCTTCATGACCGAACTTCTAAATGAAATGTGAAACCAACTGAATTGCTTTCGTTCAGAGAAATCACGACAGCCCATCAACGTTTTTTAAGGTCGGGAAACAGGTTCAAAATATGAAAAAGAAGCGGCCTTTCATTTTCTATAAATCATCTATAAATATATTTGAAATGCATGATTTTCCCTGGGTTTGTATTTTTTATTAGTGAGTAATGGCAGTTAATTCAACAAATAAGATGGCATGCTGTAAATCTGGTATATATGGCCGTCTACTGGTTTGATGTACAGTAGAACAACGATAGAAAGTTTTTCAATAAATGGAAGGGAACGAAAAATCGATGAATGCAAGGAAAAATTATTGAAATGGGAAACTGCTACAGTTTATAAATAAGTAGCATTTAAAAAATATATTGTTTATTACATTTAATATGAATACACTGTAATAAAAAGGAACTACTTGTATACAAAAAAAGTTGTGCATTGTTCTTTGCATTTCAACTGGATTTGTCTCAAATAAAAACACAACTTCTAGAAGCCTGAAATGTTTACAAAATGCGCTTCGCACATAAAAAGGACCCTTTAATATTTTGTAAAGTTTTGTCAGTCTTTTGAAGCTCGCCATATTCTCTTATTCATTTTTATGGTCTTCCTCCTGTTCTGTGTTGATTGAACCCTGAAACCTAAAACCGTTATTAGACCTGAAAGCTATCCTTGACAGCGCGTCGCAAGACGCATTTTCAGGAATCTCCGCTTTTGGGACATCTGATTGGCTGACTTGATACAGAAATCCTGTTCTTTTGGGAATACCTAGGCGGGACAGATCTGCAAGCAAAACACTTTCATCTCAGTCGTAAAATGTCCCGCAAACATAGCCGAGACATCGGTTGCAGCAAGGCTGTTTCTGTTAGGATCTTCCAATGGTAGAAGAACACTATTTTCGGAGAAGTTTCTTCTACGATCACGCATCGCTGGATGTGATAATCCCATAATTAACTCTGAAATCCCTGAAAACCAGCAAGAATAAGCAGACGAAAACTAACAAAAATAATTTAATGCAACTAACAAAGAAATAGCATTCGAAAATTAGGCTAACACAGACGTCAAGCTGAAAGCCACTTGGGTAGAGTTACTGCATAATTGCGTAGCCAGATTTATTCTTCGCACAGAAGCAAGTTCACAAATAATTAACACAAAGCTTTTTTCAAAAGTTCCATGCAAGAAATGTGACGCCAGGAGCGTGATTCACAAACGTTTAATGCGTAAAAACGCAGTTCAAAGAAATAAATTATGAGTGCGATAAATAGAAAATAAATGAGTTATTTATATAGAATTTAATTTATACCAAATATTACACGAATGTATATGATTGTTGCGAGGACGAAAAATGGATATTCTGCTCTCAATGATATAATAAAACTATCTATTATTTCATTATTTACATTTTGGCCTATTTTTAAGAATAATGCAGCATATTTTATTTCAAAGAAGGAAATAATTCTTTATATAGTTAATGATTCGCATATATCAGTTATTATCTTCAACTGGTAGTAATACTTTATCTTAACACTTTAATAACGAGAAACCCCATTTAGCTCTTTAATCTTACATTTTCTATGGGGAACATCAGACATTTTATATGAAAAAATGACATTGTGGCGCGTGTGAATATTGAAAGTGTTTTGGTTCTTATAAAAACGAGTCCATCTCGAATTTAAATAAATATCTCACTTAACTTAGTCACTATAATTTATAATAATAATTAAAAAAGAAACAATCACTCATCCCCCTTCAGTTTTTGAGAAGTGCCCTCATTCACATAAAATCTCTAATAGGCATTTTTTGTAAGTAATATAGATTTTATTTAGGGTGTCATCAAGAGATCTTAATTCAGTTTATTCATGCTAGTTTTTAGGAATTTCGTAATTAGTGTTCAATCTGAATCTAGTAAGAGTATCGAAGAATATAAAAGTAAACATGTTATTGTGCTAAATTTCACGGAGCCATTTAAAGCCAAGTTAAATCGGGTTTATATGGGCAAAGCAAATTGGAAGGAATTTCATGCCGTGAAAATCTCTTGTTTCGGCTGAGGAAAATTTCAGTCAAGAAACAAAAGACTAAAGACGATTGTTTTGTTAAAAAGCAGTTTAACTTAGTGTATTCATGTTGAAAACAGCAAATGTTATTTATTTGCTAAAATGTGTAACAGTTTCCCGTATACATTCTTTTCTTTTCTTCTCCTTCCACCTCCCCCCCCCAAAAAAAAGATCTAAATTCTGTTAAAATCTGGATTATTGAATTTTATCTTTTTCTTTTTCAGAATATCATTTTATACGAATATTTGCCGATTCTTTTAATGGAAGAAATAACGCCCTATCAAGGTAAGATATTTTAAAGCTTCTTTTCCTTTACATCTAAAATATAAAACAAAAGTTTTAAAAAAAGTTTTGGCATCCTACAAATTTGTAGAGAACTTATTAACAAATGAACCAAATGAATGTACCAAATGAACAGGAAGAAATTGACACATTATTGAAATAAATAATAGCTAATACAGCAAGATAAACAGTGATAAATAACGCAAATTCTCCTTAGCGCACAAAGTATATTACAGATCACCAAAACGACCCTCTAAGTCTAAACTAGTAAGCATCTAGTAGGAGTTCAATACTGTCACATGATTATTAAAACCTTCTAAGCGGCAAGTCCGTAAATATTCTAGGCCAAAATATTCTAGGCCTAGAATATTTTACAATATTATATATTGTAAATATTTGTAAATATTATTATTATATATTGTAAATATTTGTAAATATTATTATTATAATATTAACATAATCAATAATTATGTTATTGTAAATATTGGCCAGAATATTTTACAATTTTATATATATACAAAAAAATATTCTAGGCCGTATATATATACGGCCTAGAATATTTTTTGTGATATCCGTAAGAACGTATATATACGTGTATATTAAAATATGTCAAAGAAATTAAGGCGATATATCAAAAGAAAACAAATACAGGTATGAAAAACCAGCAGAGCTTTTACTTTAAAATAAAAAAAAATAATTTGTTCTCATAGTAGTTTTGGGAAATTTGTGCTTTCTTAGCGAAAACCCTGGCCGTTCAGAGGGTTAATCGGTATATATATATAGTATATTATATATAGGGTTGCCTAAGCAATTCTGGAAGCTTTAAGAACAATCATTGTTACATCAAAAATGAAGTTTTCAAAAAACTTCCAGAATGTCTTCAAGTTGGCCAAAAATTACCAAATATCCGTATAGTCGCTAAACTCATATGGAGGGTTTCTACCCATATCTCAAGCTCTAAATGAGCTATCTTTCAATCAAAATTTTAAAAAAAATGATCAATTCAGAATTACAAGATTTGTAACACAATGCACGAAATAAACGCGTATAAAAGGTGGCTACCTTTGATTAAATGAAAATATACGTCAGATGCACAAACGAATGAAGAGTCTACATCCTGTGTCTTTCCTGCGGCTTTGATAATCTATGGTTGTCTTAAAAACCTATTTCTTAATTTCTAGTTCATTTTAATTTTCTTAAAAGTTTTCAACACTGCGTAAAAAATAATCAAGCTTCTCCAGCTGTCTAACAGGATGTTTTGCTATTAAACTGGATAACAAATATTTCTCAGGCTGAGTAATGCTGTTGTTCATTCGTTTTTGCATTATTTTCCAAATTAATTCTGTTTCTAAACGACGTCGTTAGAAATTTTTTATTTCTAATGTTGATTGTTTAAAACTATTTCATTAACAATTAAATAGCCATTATTACGTTCTCTAAACAAATTTCGCAGTATTATTCTACTCTAAGTATAGTCTTTAATTTATTTCTGATGTTGTTTGTTTGCTACTTTCCTCGAAATCAGAAAGAAATACAGTGTTAAATGCTATCATTATTAGCAAAATATAGTTTAGGAAAATTGCGGAATTTTAAACTAGGTTCACTACAGCATTTCGAAAGCATAAAATTCTTTGCGGAAAGAAAAGAGACTGGAGCATATTTATTCAGAAAATTCTATTACATAAACACAAAGATTGGTAAGTAAGTGATTGTTGAAAAGTTTCCATGCATATTTTATATGATGCGCCTGTGTGTGTGTATTTAATTACGGCAAAGCACACAAGGGCTATTTGCCTAAGGGGAGGGATGCCTTCGTGGAGGACTTTCTAAGGGAAACTGGCTCGTATACACGTTACACATGGGGAAAACCACGAAAACGCCCATGCAGCCAGCCCGTTCGCGGGATTCGAGCTAGACCGAACTACCAGTGTTCAGCGACTTTACCGCTCGGCCGCTGGTGGGCCCACTATGATGCGCCTGAAAATGGTGGTTAGAAATTCATTTTTTAACTGCATATTTACAAAAAAAAGTCTTTCTTTCTTAAGATTATTCTTCAAGCATTGCAGAGTTAAACATAAATTTTTAAAAAGAAATCATCCAATTAATAAGCATTAGTAAAGACGAAAATGCTTTCTAAATCAAAATATCTCGTTTGTATCCATGCTTTTATGTTAGTTTTGTTGAACGTGTTTATCAGTCCCTGTATTCGGAACTCAAAATTTTAGAGGCCTTGTTCAATTTTTTTCTTTACTTCTGAACAGCCTGAAGTATTGTTGCTGAGTCAGAGATATTTCCTACACTCTCACTCTTGTAAAACCATTTTGGAAGACTGATTTTTAAAAATGTTTTATTCGCAGATTCAAAGTTTTGCCCGAGCATAGTGTTGGTTGTAACTTTGCCAATCAGATAAAAGATTAAGGATGATAGTATGCTCTTTCTCTACAGAAAGCAGTGATAAATTTCTGGTTGATATCCAACTCAAGACATCCATTTAAGATGATAATTAAATTGCATAAAAGGGATACTAGAAAATGTTACCAGTGGCTCAGAGTTTCGGCAATAGTCCTTGAATCTGATAGACCAGTGTCCTGATATGATAAATCAGAATCTTTAAAATCTTTCCATTCCGTTCATAAATCCTGTTCTCTATTGGAATGTAAGAGCATCTGCTTATGAATAGGAAGGCCCTACGTTGAAATTCCGGCCAGAAAATATGTTCTAGATAATCTCTATTTAATAGTCACTCTTGTTATTTCATTTAGGTGACTGATTTGAACGAGCAAACATTTCATAAATTTGCGAAAAAACATAGTAAAGTTACGATAGTTAAAGTTTCATGTGTTCGTTTCAAGTAGTGTTATAAGTACTAAATTTTAATGATTTCTAACTTCTTTGAATAACATTTGCGTTGTGTGAAATACTTTAAAAATTACTCTATAAAGTGCTATTGCGTATCTTGTATGTCAGGAAGCTAAATTTTCGTATTTTCAGGCACACAAAGATTCATATAACAGTGCTATAATGACCACTGATGTGTTCCTAAGTTTCAAAACATAGGGTTGCCAAAACAAAGCCGAAGGCAACCATATTCTTGCTATTTAAGGTTTAAATTCATGCATAAGAACTGTTAAAAATTATGAAAGCATCAATAATTATGTTATAAAATGTTAACTGCGGCAAAGATACCAAAGAGTAGGCTAAGAAAAATCTTATGGAAAATTCCTACTGAAAGAACAAAAAAATAATATAAATATAAGCAATAAAAATGGAGCAATATTCGCGAAGACGTACTGAACGATAAAACGCAAAAATTCTGTTTAATATTATGGCAGAACGCAGAAGATTCATATGCATCGAGATCACTTACCAAAGCTAAGCCTTAAAAATGCTAGTAGTTAATTTCCAGGTAGTAGTCTGTTTTAAAATTCCTTATGTGTTTTGTGAATTTAACAGCTATTCAAGTAGAAAGGTTTGAGAAAATTGTGAAGCCCTAGGCACATTATTCTGTAGGTACCCCCCAATGCCTACATTGCTAGTTTCCATGAGCGTAGAACAAGACTACGAGAAGTTAAAGAAGAATTTATGTGGCTTTGAAATCTGCTTTTATATGCCTGGATACAGACCTGATTATTGGGTCATTCATTGACAACTATTTTAATACTCACTCAATGAAGAAAGAAACAAGAGAAGTATTTCCACAAGTATGCCATCATTTTTCAAATTCAACTTCAGATTACGGAAGCTCAGCGCACGTGATAAACTTAATGCTGATAAAAATTAAAAATGCTTTGAAAATTAATTTGAGAATGCTTTTTATCTGGTACGATGCTAGAAAACAGTATCAAGAATGCTCCCCCCCAAAAAAAAATCAAACCTGTTTTCATCCAGTATTGCATATATCACAAGTATTGAATTTGTATTGCCACTTACTTTTACATTACTAATAAACTGCATAAAAAATGCAAGCTTTTATTGTGCTTGCGAAATTATTAGAAATCTTAATTAATCTTGTAGCTTAAAATAAACCTAATTTTCTTCTAGGTTACCAACCTGATCTCCATCCAGGTGTCTGCCACGTCTTTCAGTCTGCTGCATTTCGTTTCGGACATACTATGATTCCTCCTGGTCTTTATAGAAGGTAAAGATCATTTCAGAAATATTCAAAATGTTTTTGAATGATCTTATATTCAAAAATAAAATATTGTGCAGAAATAAGTTTTTAAATATCATATATCACACACAAATATGCATTAATGTATCACAACTGATCTACAGAATTGTGATACAATAAATGTGTGTTTGTGTCACAGTGAACAATCCTGCATTTGTGTAGCATTGGCAGTTCTCTCCAAGTCTATTCTTGGCAACTGAGTGGGTTAGTTTTATGAGAGTCAATTTTTTTTTCATATGAACACAAATATGAGAACCATTTTTTTTTAAATTGTGGTTCACAAACTTTTTAATGCTCCACACACATAGAAAATGTTTGCATCCATTTTAGTTATCGCAAACTGGTAGTAGATAGAGTAATGACTCAAAAGTCCTCCTAAGTTTGGCAACTTCTGACTTAGGAATCTCCCCGCGAAGATATAGCTCCTCGTAGACAAATATGATGTGCTTTAACCGAGTAATCCAATTCTACAACGCATCTAGCAAAAACATTGGCTGTACTCAACCGCGAAGTCAATTTTCATTAAATGTATTTAGCTAATATTAAACATTAAGGAAATCTATCAGTTTGGTAGCCATCATATAACATCCTCTTCCGAACATCTCATATTATTTCTGCAAATGCAATCAAATTACTTCTGTTTACTAAAAATATATATTAAAGTGGTATAATTTTTCTAAAATAATAGCCTATCTTTCCATGAGAATGAATGAAACACAAAAAGTGTTTAAACTCATAGCAGCTCCGTATGATGATCAAGTGTGAAGACTTCCTGGAAGCATAGCTTTTCACAGTTAGGTGTCTTTCTAAATCTAAGTAATAGTATTAGAATCAAAGTCTAATTTAAACTTCTGTAATAAATATTGAACTTATTGATTCATGTTCCTCCTATATTAGTTTATACAATATAAATACAAGACACTTAAAATCATTGGTTCTTCATTCAGGAATGCCCAATGTGAATTCCGCAAAACTGTTACTGGATATCCAGCAATTCGCTTGTGCTCTTCTTGGTGGGATTCAGAGGAGATCGAGCCCGGCATTGAAGAGCTTTTGATGGGTATGTCTTCCCAGATTGCAGAGAGGGAAGATAATGTCCTTTGTTCGGATGTGAGAGGTAAGATTATTCGATCTATAATGTAAACATTTTATCATTCAAAACTCTTTTCCTGCGTCATTCACAAAATATCATTTTAATTTTTCATTATATTAAGCCTTTTTCAATTCCACGGGAGCCGTTGGTTTTTAACACAGTGAAATATTTCAAAATAATCTTTATTACGTAATTAATAATTTCCAAAAAAGTCATCACGTTTTCCCTCGCTTTATGAAAGTATAGCATTCATGTGTGTGGTGGTTTGGAAAAGAGGGATTTTATGTGCCAAAATGACATGAAGCGAAGAAAATCCTATCAGTAATTTATATGGGACAATTTTTTTAAACGTTTAAGATTTAACCAGTAGATAGCTAAATTGCTATCTACTGGTTTATGTGCTCGCAAGGAAAGTTATCGATGACAATCGTCATGAAACTGGTCATTCACATTATCAGTCATTTAACTTAATATCGATCATTTATAAATATTTATAAACTGATCATGCATACGAATATTTATTTTGTTTTTAACTCTTCTTTTTAATTTAGATATAATACGTTTTTTAGTAGTTTCATATTTCCTTGTATACGACTTTTGAAATGATTGTTATCATTCATATTGCTAGCTTCATACAGCTGCATCATAAGAATGATCATACTAACAAACTTAAGAATGTCTTTTCTTTTCTCGAACTATATTGAGCTATAACCCATAGCACAAAATATGCACGGTTGTTTTCATTTTTTCTCTTAAGTCACCAGAAAGGGAAGTGTGCTTTATTCTCTGGTCTTTCATTCAGCAGGTTTACTTAAGATCCGAGTCCTCGGGATCCGTTCTATACTAAAGAGAATATAAATAGTTCTTATGGGTAAAACTTCCGATATTTCGAGTGTCATGATATATTTTTTTCAGCAAACGTCTTTTTGATAAATGCTGGATTTAATCGTTACCTTTTACAAGTACTTATAAAAAACGTATTTTTGATTTCTTTCGAAAGAGAAGAGGTGCCTTTTGAATGATTGAAATTTAAGTGCAGCAGATGGAAGCTGCTTCACTTTTCTTAAGAAGTTCGGAAATCGTTTCATTCTTTCAGACCTTTTGTGACTTTTGAAACACTTAGCTAAGAACTTTTCTTTTAGTTAAAAATATCCTGGAGCGCGATGAATGTGTTTATAGTTTCTTGCGAATAGTTAGCATGTCATGCTGAAACCTGGAAGTTCTTATTTTCGCTGTGATTAAATCAATTTATTCATCTAGTTTTTGTTAATACCAAATGTTTCCAATTTTTAAAGGGGAAAAATTAAATGACAATCTTCAAAAAATTTTTTTTTAATTTAAGAAATATAAAAATTATAAAATTAAAAAGCAATTGCCAACTGACTTTGGTTCGCCTGATTCCAGTTTAACGCCTAAAACATTTTCAAACTAAACAGTTTCGATTAGCTTCTTTAAATTAATGAAATTAACCCTTCCGAAATATAGACGTAAAATCATATATTTAAATCACATACAAAAATAGCAAAGACAAGTAGTAGGAAAAAATAAACTTACTGAGATATTATTCCATCATCATCTATCACTGCATAGAGATTTACAAGATAATTTAAAACAGATGATTCAATTATTCAAGATGCAGTTTACATGTATTTCACTAAATCGCTTGTGTGTACGGCTTGCGATAAGTACAGTGGTACCTTGGCATACGTCATTAATCCATTCCAGATCCTTCGAATTATAACAAACATTTTTTTCCTAATTAGAAATAAAGGAAAATAATAAGTCCGTTCTTATAAAAATTAAGTTGTTACTACTATAACATTGTTTAATACTAAAATATAAATTTAGTGCGTGAAATATACACCTATGCATAAATGAAACACTACACGTGATACTGTACATAAATGTTTTTCTGCTATACAGATCAAAAGCAATTTTTTTCTTTTGAAATAGATTTCAGCCTTCTTCGCAGCTTTAACTGCTTTAATAGCGCCTTTGTTTTTCACAATCATAGACATCATGGTACTCGGTACACAGTATGAAATTGCTAAGCCCCGGATAGACATGCCATCTTAATACTTCTCAACAATCTCTTTTTTTTTTCCCCATCATCGTGATCCTACCTATTTTCTTCGTAGCTCAACTCTTCTCATTAAAACACATTGTTGATGAATTAACAAAACAAAAAAACAAAAAAACAAAAAAAATTACGTGAAAAAAAACGTCACTTGAAAATTCACGGCTACAGCACGAGTTGTTTACTAAATATTGTTTACTAAATACAACAGGCATATTCACATTCAAGGGCATTCGTAACATTATTAAAACTCACGGGGAGGAATCATTTCCTAGGCATTCCGCCCTTTATATGAATACTGCACAACCCCCGAAAGGCAATCCCCATGGGCGCAGTCTTCGCAGTTGACTACCTCGTCTTGTCAATATATCTGGAATGCTAGGCCACCTTGCGACACGAGTTACCATTCCATTCGCAAAATTCATAGATAAAAAGTGAATATTCACAGATACTCACACTCCCACAGTGAGAGAACTGAATGGAACCAAACACCGAAGATCGCCAAGCAAGCATCCAGACACGCAGCTCAGGACCGAGCCTGATCCATCGCCAGCGCTAGTAATGTGAAGACTGATTTTATGCCTTCGTGGCCGAGACTACCTAGTTGCAGATCATAACTAGTAGCTTCATCATAGGTTTTACCTGCGTCGACCCCGGGGGGCGGACGTTCGGAGCATTGTCTCGAAACAGTTAAACAAATGTAAGGACTCATCGCACTCGAATCGTATTCTAGACAAATGTTTACACTAAATACAAATTTTCGCATGTAAACCGGACATATGCTAAGTTGGGAGCTAAGTTGGTAGTATTTCAGAACGGATGTATATCAAGGTACCACTGTATTTTCCTTAAGTGGCCATACCTTTTATTTTATCAGGACGCTAAATCTTCTTATTGAAACCATTAAAAGCCTAGAAAGAGAAGTCCTTCTATAGATTTAAAAACATTTAGAGTATCGAGAATGACACATAGGAATTCATTATATTGCGTATGTTTGATAGAAGGAATTCATTATATTGCGTGTGTTTGATATTCGCGTGTTTTTATGCAACAGAATTATTTAAAAACCATAAACACAAGTTCGAGATGTAGATTATTCTTATTATTTTTCCTGCTATTAGAAGAAAAACCTTAGTACTTAAAGTCTTGGTATTTTAGATTGGTATAATATGTAAAACAAGGTACGCAACGGTTCAAAGAATGGTAACAGAAAAGGTTGAGTATTTTAAGAACAAAAGCTTTCCTTTTTTCCCCCTTGTCAGTATTATAATGTTCCTGCTCATTTAAAACGATAAGCTTCATAACTTAAGCATATAAAGACAGATTATGCATTTTGTATTAGACTTCAATTAAATTTTTCTTGAAAAACGTGCTAAGCTATTAAAACTGATTTTTTAACGATCGTAATCTGCTTATATTTCTACAGTATTTTTAACTTTATTTGTAGTAATGCTGGTGTTCATATTTCAGATAAATTATTCGGTCCGATGGAATTCTCCCGTCGAGATTTGGCTGCTCTGAATATCATGCGAGGGCGAGATAACGGATTGCCCGATTACAATACAGTACGGAGGTATTTCCAGCTACCAGAAATACGGAACTGGTCTCAAATTAATCCCGAACTGTTCCAGAGGAAGCCAGAAGTATGTATGACGTCACTTACGGACTTGTTTCCTCTTGTTTGCTCTACTACTATATGAGTTCTTACATTTTCTAATATATGTACGAAATACAGTTCAGGGGTAAAATTCCAAAAATAGACGCGCGTCTTTAGTTCACATATTAACCAATTCATCAAAAACTACCCACTTTGTTGAAAAAATCGTTATAAGAGCTTTGATCTCATACATTATGTATTCATACAACTGCGCTTTCCCCAGCAGACTTATGCAAGCAAGATTAGGAACTTGAAAACTTATGCAAACTTATAAGATTATTAGTTTCATAAAGTTTCAGTATGGATTAAATTTATGCTATAAAACTCTTTTTTGTCCATAACAGGAAAATAGAAAATATCGTTATATGATGCAGTTGTTAGTTACGATGAACTTCAGTTTGGCTAACCTAACTCTAAAGTGGAAGAATAGTAAATTTCTAGAGGGGAAAAATTCTTTGATCTATTAGTTTCGAATTTATTGGATTATGGTAAAGGCCGTTAAGGCTATGTACATAAGACAAGAATGCTTTCATGAAGAACTTTTCAAGGAAAAATAGCTGGTATGCACGTTACGCATAAGGAAATTTATAAAAGTGCCTATGTAGCCTTCAGAGTTTGAATCTAAGTCGAATTGACATTGTTCAGCGGTTTCAACAACTTGACTTGGTGAATTTTTAGGTGTTGAATTCTCAACTGATAGTGAAAGTGAAATTAAATTTGAAACTTTTTTTAATTGTGGGCACTAGCCAAGAAATATCTAAATTAACTTCATCACTTCCATCATCAATAGCAGTTTCTTTATCGAATCTGAAACAAAAATTTCTGTTGATAGTGGCAGTGATGAAGTTAATTACAATACAAATATTTCTAAACACTGAATATAATTTACTATAAAGGTTCTTGGATTTAAGTGTGTACTAAATCAGCATCAGCTTTTAGTCAGAAAATGTTAGTTGAGTATAAAAATTTAGTACTGTACATAAGATTATTATATTTCTAAAAACACTAAATCTACGTTTTCGCTTCAAAACCAAAAATAAGATCTGTTTCAAGAAAATTTAATCCTTTTAGAAGACTTCTTGTTAGAAAGTTTTAAGAAATGGTTCGCGTTATATAACAAAAGACGTTTCCATTCAAGTTGTTTTCAGTCACCAGTCGTTAATTGTTCTGCCAATTGAGGGGGAAAAATAAATCTCGGCTTTGTATGAAATAAAAAATTAAAGAATACAGCCTGTCTTTATCACGAAAAAGGAACTAAATCATAAAGGTATGCGTAATGTATGCTCATAAGTTGCATTTTCGGATGCAATACGTCGAAAACCAGCAAAAATGTTCACAAATACTTCCTTGTCTTCCAGTCTGGCACGTGTATATCAGACTCCTGACCTTGAACTTCACTTGGGAGAGATATAATCACATAATAAAGGCAGTGATTGCGTGACTGGTATTTCGAAAAAATTTAAATCGTTAACTAAATAAAATTTTAGTTAGTAAGTTACGTGCAGTGTGCTTTTGTGGCATTTATATATACTTCCGGGTCAAGTGTTACCTTATAATTCTCTTTGCGAAACTTCACAGTATCAAAACGAAATTCCCAGCCAAAGCTGAACAAGACAAGTTTGGGGATTGCTTCGCTTTATAGTATGTATTGAGCTTTTGCAAACGCATCCCACTGACACGTTAGAGAAATAAGCCTAATAATTTGAATTTCAGTAGAAGAGAACAAATTAGAATCTCAACATTAGTATCGTGGTCACTACGCATGAATCGACATTGCAATATTTCAATAACAGCATCGTAGTCATTGCTGGTAAATTTTAAGTTACATTCTGTACCTCTAATTAGATGCGTTATTTAGCATTTGAAATAAATTTTAGTTAGAAAGTTGCAGTCAAAATCTTTGTTATTATTATTATCATTACTTTGATTTGAGTTGCGTAAACTTAATTTACCTATTAAATTACTGATTGTGCTTTAAGTTTCGTTGCCTAACTTTCTTTTAAAAGGCATAATTACTGCGATTGATTCTCCAAGTACCAAAAAAAGGCGGGAGCGATTTCGCATTACCAAAATTTAAATTATCTGGTTGATTAAAGACATACTGGAATATAAATGCTTGTAATTATAAAATTTACAGTAGTAAAATGAAATTACTTTTGGTTCTTGAAGAGACTAAACGTCGTTTCTTGTCTCCCTCGAATTCGATAGAATTATCTCTAAAGCTAACTCTACTTAAAAATTAGAATTTTGCCTAATTTTTTCATCAAAACATGTGTTAGATTTTTATCTCTAAAATAATGATATAAAACTTTAAAATTCCGGTTTGGAGAATCCCATTAGGATAACGTGTTCTCAGCAACCGAGAATTGAAGTCAAATTTCCTCGGAGAATCATTTAGATTTCTTCTTTTGCGTTTTCAGAGACCATTTTGCATGATAAGTGTGTTACGTCTCGCAACCTAAAGCATGATTCGTTTAATGGCCATGATTCTCAGCTGCATCCTATCGAGCTTCATAAGTGGAGACAAGGAAACTGTTCTTGCGCTGAATACTAATTGATATTCCTATAGTTCTGATTACTTGAGTCATTAAAGAGGAGTGAGACCTTACAATAATTCAAGCAAATCGTTATTAAAAATGGCCTCTTTTTTTTTCCTAGCTGTTCCAGCTAATGAGCGATCTGTACGGAAACTTGGATAATGTCGACCTTTACATCGGAGGTATGCTCGAAACAGACGTACAAGGTCGTCCGGGCGAACTTTTCAGGAAAATCATTCGGCAACAATTCGAAAGGATTCGAGACGCTGATAGGTTTTGGTTTGAAAATCCACAAAACGGGTAAGAAAGCATGTTGTTAATTTAATAAGTTTCTATATGCTATTTTTTATTAAATAAAGGAGAATTTAATTTATCAGTGTGATATGATTCATACCGATATATGTGATTCGAGTATGGTACTGAAGTTTGTGCAGATGACTATGTTCTTTGAACTCGTTTACTCAGCAAATGTAAAAGATTTCATAAAACAGTTGCGAAAAAAATAAAAAGAAGTATAAATTTATTGTTAATAATGAAGATTTAATTTTGGATTTAGTATTTGAAGCCTGTTTCCAAAATTCAAGAATTAACTCTGAATTCTTATCAATCATATCATAATACGACTACCATGATATTTCTTTCAAAATAATTCCTTGCTTTAAAAATCAAATACAAACACTACCTATTATTATACTATGTACAATGTGTATTGTAATGCAAGAGCACTGTTATGGACTTTTAGAATAAAAACATTTTTGATTTTTTCTTAATTTTCAGCAGAGAATTTTGCATTTCATGTTTAGTGTTTCATGTTTAGTGTTTCATGTTTGATGTTTTATCTGTGCCGCATTAGTCGGTATAGTGGTTGCGATGTAGGCAGTTGCATCGATGGGCCCGGAAAAGGCTTGGATATTTGTAAGAATACAGTGTGTTTGCGCACAGAGTGTGAGGCGAGTGTGCGGCACAGAGTGTGTGAGGCGAGTCGAAACTTTTGGGCTTGGTGGTATAGGAAAATGGTCCGGGAGATCCTAGGATCTGTGCCCCTCAAAACTGGAACGCTGCTGGTTAAAGACATTTTTTTTTTTTTTTTTTTTTTTTTTTTTTTTTTTTTCAGTAGTGGACACCAGCCATTATAGGAGCACTACTAGGGCCGTCACTTTATTATGGGGTAAGCGGTGGTCACTTTATTATGGGGGCACCTGATATGGGGACCACCGTTTCCTCTTAAGAAAGAGCAGATAATTTACATCCATACCTTCTAATGGAATCGAACCCTGGCCCTTCGTTATAGCAGTCAGAGTCACTAACCACTTTCCCGTCTGGACTGTCGATTAAAGACATACTACCACCTACAAAATTCATAAGGTCCATGCCTACAGCAGAGATACTCCTTGCCACGTTAAAATTACTGGACTTGTTCTGTAGACTATGTTAACTCTGTAGACTATGTTAACCTGGACTATGTTATTGTAGGACAAGTGAAATAAGTCTCAACAGCAGCAGTGTTTTATACATGTTAACTCTTGAAATAACCGTTCCCCTTTTTCTGCATTTGCTTCGATTTAAAATGAAATTTCATTTGCATCCGCTTAATAACTAAAGACGCATTTTGAAAACCGTTTTTAAAGTTGTTTTTAATTAAAAGCAGATTTCGGATTTTGGATTTTATTTAAAACATTTTACATTAATTTTGATATTAAATATTTTATATTTTTATTTGTTTATTATCAATGTATTAAGGCTCGAGGGCCTTTCAGAATTCGAAATTGAGAAAATTTAGGATTCTTTCCCCCTCTTTAAGTATTATGACTGCATAAGTTCAGTATTTCTTCAACAAAAAATTGATTTCGATTTTTTTTTTTTTTTTTTTTTTTTTTTTCAGTTTACACATTGTACGAATATAAAACAATCAATCTTCATTATTAAAATAAATAAATAAATAAATGAAGGGAGAGATGGGATGCAGTTTTTTGATGGTCCACTGTAAGGCTCCACGTCAGTGATTTGTTTTAGGTGTTAAAATAGAATTCAGAATGCATTCTCCTTTTTTGTTTCTTTACTTTGTTTACAAACCTCCCTTTTGTCTGATGATTCCTTTTCCTCCTCCTATGCAGTATTTTTACAGAAGAAGAAATTGAAGAAATTAGGAAAATCACACTGTGGGATATATTGGTCAATACAACGGACATAGATCCTGACGCTATTCAGAAATCAGTTTTCATATGGAAGGAAGGTATGTAAATTATTGTTCTGCCATACACAGGGCTTAATTTCTAAAATTAGAAGTGCCGGAGCCCTATGGAAAACTCTCAGGAAAGAAAAAAGAAATAATAAGTAAAGAAATAAAATACATTAAAAAAAATCTGAAAGGTTTCAGATTTTAAATTACGTTCAAAGGGGAGTTTTTTTAACGTTTTGCGTGCTACCTTTATTTATTAAATATCATGTTCTACGTAATCAAACCATAAAATTCAGTTCAACAGCAATATTGCAAAATAATTTTAAAATGAACATATCTTTAGAATTTCCGATACAGAGTCTCGCGCGCTGGAGATAATTTTTTTTTTTCTCGTACAGTGTTGCCACTCTTCGCTTTGAAATCGTTAAGTTTGTTAATCAAAAATTCTTTAAGTTTTACAAAATATGAAATCGATAATAAAACAAATTCCAAATTTCAAATTTGAGCTTCCAGATGCCCATACTCGAAGGAGAATTACGTTATTCAAAATAACCGTTCTCTAGGTCCACTCTCTAGATACAGTTATTTTATCACAATGCGAGAAACATACATACATTTACGCAGATTCTTCATTATTTTATTTTTTAAATATAATACAAGACGATAATATTTGGTGGCAACAATTTGAAAGTGAAACAACGCTTGTAGTGAATTGACGCAAAATGCCAAAACGAAATTAATAGGGTGTGTTTTAACGTTTTGTGTGTTATCTTTATCTATTAAATATCATGTTCTTTCCACTTAAACCATGAAATTCGTTTCAACAGCAATATCACAAAATATTTAAAAGAGCATATCTTTAGAATTTACGATACACAATCTCGCGCGTTGGAGATTTAAAAAAAAAAAAAAAAAAAAAAAAAAAATCCGTACAGTGTTGCCTTTGCTCACTTTGAAATCATTGAGTTTTTTAATCAAAAGCTCATAAATGCTTCACAAAATATGAAATATATGATAAAACATATTCCAAATCTGGGCTTCCGGCTGCCCATATTCGGGTGGAGACGTACGTTATTCAAAATTTAAAACTGATAAAATTGGCTCTAGTCACCATTGTTTTATCAAAGTGCGAGAAACGTACATTTATTTGTGCAGATTCTTCATTACTTAATTTCATTAAATATAATACAGATCTCTAACATTTGGTGGCAACAATTAAAAATTAAAATAACTAAATAATTCAACCAAATTAAAAAGAAATGTAAAGAGATAAATATAAATTTAATAAATTATTAAATTAATTACAAATAATTAAATAAAAAAATAAATTATCGGGCTTCGGCTAATTTGGCGCTCCGGTTGTAATTACAATTCCTGTCAGAAGGTAAGAAGTAGTGCAACAAATCTCCATTTAAGCCCTCCTTAAACATACAATGTCCTATTTAAAGAGATGATAAATACAAAAATTACTCTTTTTTTGCAGCACATAAATGAAAAAAGAAACAACCGTTAAAGCGTCTCTAAGAAGAATAGTGAATTCTAAAAAGAGTATTTGACTATGGAAGAAAATTTTAATGGAAAATGTAGCTTTGGAAATTAAGAGTGAAGAGCAAGACTGATGGCAACCGCTTGATGGCTAGAATTATATACGCTGTCAATATAATTCTAGCCATCAAGCGGAATTTTCCCTGAATACGATTCGAGAGAATAAATGTAAGACTCCTCTGTACAAGGACAGTAGTGATCCTTGCGTTGAATTACATTATTTAAAAAGTCTGCAGTAGGAAATCACTAGCGTGCGCGTGCATGATCAGAGCATCACTTTCAGTTTTTCAGGAACGAAAAATTGACTCACTCTCATAAATTCTTTGCACTTTCCTGGAGATATAAGCCTTTGACACGTGGGCGGGGTGTTTCATTCCTTAAAAGATTCAGCCTCTCCAAGGTTTATGTCTGAGGGAAGGGCAGGCTTACATTCAGATGTTAGAATAGATTTTTAAGACATATTATTATTAAAATTAAATTTGCCTGTGGAAAATGGGGTTATTTTACAGAAAAGAAGGAACGGTGCCCTTTCGTTTAGAGCTCCGATGCACTGAGGCTAAAATTACGATTTATCTCAACTAAAATGTACCGGAGACAAGCTCCGTTGGGCTCCGGCGCAATTTAAGCTCTCTCCATAAATCACGTATAGTTTAACAAATACCAGTTTAGACTAGTATAAAGTTTAGACTGATAGAAAACGAGCAGTCTTTCTCACATGTATGAAATCATCATCAATTGTTGACTTATAATATCAGAAAAAGCATTATGCATAAAACTCTTTCAATGCGATGTTTGTAAGCGCGAGTCCTTGAAGTTTCATTTTTCATTATAGAATATCATCATTATGCGTGAATCCTATTTGTTATCATAGTTTGGCTGCTGCTGATAACAAAATTGCATTTCCTGTTTTATTCTCGTTTTTATGAGTAAAATAGAATATTTGTCCTCTCCACCTGAAATATTTAATCATGAAAATCTTTGCTTTTCGCTTTTCCTAGTAAAAGATGCATGCATCTAAGGCACGGGGTTCAACCGGGGAGGGGGGAATTTCATAGTTTTAAGGGGATGCGGTCAGACTTTTATTAAAGTTTTTATGATTAGAAAAAACTTTTTTTATTCAAACTGTGGTATTAATCAACATTTTCTATACTTTGGACTACTTTATACTTTCTAAAAACGCCTCTTTGGACATAATTTAAAATCTGAAATATTTCAGATTTTTATTTTTATTTTTATTATTATTATTACTATAAGTAACAGGCAAAGTCCGTGGCAGCAAATCTATCAGCATCAAATAAAAATAAATAATAATAAGTAAATAATTATACTTAAGTTTAGAATGTTTGTACAAATGAATAAAATCTTAATTTTATTATTATTTAGTAGTTTTTGTAATCTGTAAATTAATTCAGATCATTATTTGTATTTTTGTTCACTGTACTCTAAGAATAAAAAAAAAATGTGCTAGAAATTGCAAAAGATATTTGATTTCATGGAGCGCTTTCGACAAAGGTATGTAATTAGGTTACGTATCTCATTTTCGAACTCTTTTGTTAGTGCTCTCATTAAACCGTCTAATTATCAACAATTCACTCTAATATTGCTGAGCATGTTTAATTATATGCTATTATCGACCCTTCCAAGAACATTTTGAATATTTCAAGTGACATGCTGCGGAAAAATTTTGCGGAATAGTAGGACAGTAATTATTTAGAAAAAGTAATGAGAGATAAATTAATATAAATGAGCAGACTTCTGTAATTTTTCAAAAATATATATCTTATTTATTTATTTATTGTTTTTCTTCTCTTTTCGCAGGAGATCCTTGTCCGCAGCCGCAGCAACTCGTCAGCAGAGATCTGGAACCATGTGTTATGCTGAGTGGGTACGACTATTTCCATGGCAACGAAGTGACGTACATCTACTCCTGCATAGTGCTTGCATTCATACCCATTGGTAAGTTCATCGATTTACGCCCACTTTTCCAAGAATCAATATGAAGACGGTGATGAAGACGGTCTAATTCAAGAAATATTCCTTGAATTAGATTTTTCTCGCATATCAGGAATATTTTGTTGTTTTAATCATATGTACTATTTGGAGATAAAAATTAGCTATATAATTTTATTTCTTGGTGACTAATTCTGAGCACACATATTCTCGTTTACACATCACTATGAGTGCGATAAGCACCCCATAGTTTTTGGTAACATATCACAGTTTTCAGACAACGGACAACATAGAGAACAAAGCAATGGAACAGTACATCGTAGGGAGAGGAAGGCAGAGAAAAGGTGAGCTCGCAACCGGTACCGATACTCAATTATGACTAACTTATCGCTCTAAGCTCGACGTTATCAGCTCTAATGAAGTACTGGCAGAGCCAGATTTAGACATCATAAGGCCCTAAGCTATTGGAGATATGGAGCCCTTTATAATATATTTTAATACTATTTATACTATATTTAAATTTTGGGGGAGGGCTCTCAATAAAGTGGGGGCCCTAAGCTATAGCTTGTGTAGCTTATACGTAAATCCGGCCCTGAGTACTGCATTTATCGCCGCTTTGTAATAATCGTTGTTTGTCAGCGTGGCCGCACATTTTTGCAAAGCGTATTTATAGAATGGAATCCTTTGTAAAAATTTTGAACGGTGATTGGACAAGAGCTAACCGCATTGTAGGATTAAAAATCACATAATGCGGATTAATTTTCAAGTGACGCAGTTTAGATTCCAGGAAGGAGACGTAGCAAATTGTAACGAGGATTTTTAAAATTAATTGTTTATTTGTTTATTGGATTTTGGTTTTAGATGACAATAATTTTTTACTTCTTTTCAGGTATTTTCATTTTATTTTAAGCTGACTTTTCATTCCAAATTTTAGCAAAGAAAAAATTGTGGATATGAACATAATAATAATAAAAAAATTATATAATGATAATTTTTAGTATAATGCATTTCATTTGCGGCCAAAAGTTCAGCTCCAAAGCGTTTTCGAAATTTCGAAGGCGTACACCGGGACATTTCCTTTTACAAAGGAAATATACTACAGAATAAGTAGCCTCGTAATCATATTTTTTTTTTTTTTCAGTTTTAGAATAAATAAATTATAATTATTTGTAGGTATTATTTTCGGGCATTTGTGCAAGCAAAACAAATGTGGCTGCACCAAGCTTCTGTTTTTGTTGACATAAGGTATTAAATCATAAGGGTCAAGGTTTTTAACTCAACACATCTGACCCCGGATGAGGCGCTTCTCAGTTTTTGAGCGAAATTGTAATTCAAGTCGGAGCCTAAGATAAAATGAGCTCTGGTGTTTTGATTTTAAATTTCACTATTTTCATTAATTTGACTTATTGTTTATTAATTATGTATCAGTTTTTACTTTCTTTGTCTAATTTTAATTGCTCATTATTTTGTCTAATTTTAATTGCTCAGTATTGATTACGTTATTTCTGCTTTTCATAAAAACTCCGGCAGTCAGGGGTTACGATTACATTCACTAAAACTTAAAATATAATGAAACTCCGGCAGTCAGAGTTACGATTACATTCACTAAAACTTAAAATGTAATATACAGTTTTTAAGAGCCGAACGACGAATTTCATGCTAAGAAACTATAATGAGTAAGAAAAATTTGAAATTTCTGTTCAGGAAACGAATTTTTATTCCGAAGAAGCAGTAAATATGGTCAATCATGTTTTTCAATCCAGATACATAGCGCCCTCCGTTGAGCAAAATAAGAAGAGAGAAAATCAGTAAGAGAAATCCATATTCTTCATTAGTAAGCAATTAAAATCTTTTAACAGATATTATAATACATTTCTATTATATAATGTTTAAGATTTTTAAAGAAAAAGGAAAATGTTTCTATAAAAGAAGCAAAGAATACTTTTTATTTCTTTTCCTTTTTTAATTATTTAACATGCAAGTTGGTGTGAAATCCTCGCATTAGTTCAGAAGTGAAACCAAGATTTAATACGTAGAAAAAGCTGAATTTCTACCAATTGTATAATTAAAATAACTCTGGTGAATTCGGAGGAATGGAAAACTTATAAATGCTTACTTTAATTAAGTTTGATTAAAATGGTATTTGTAATTCAATAATTGTTATTAAAAACCTTTAATAAAGTTACAAACATTATTAAAACCAAATACCATTGAAATTTACATTTCAAAGTATCCGAGATTCTACTACTCAAAGAAATGATGTAGTATATCAGTACTCATTTGACCAAAAACTATTGTTATAAGTTACAATTAGCGAAATGAAACACAAATAGTTCTTTTTCCTCACAGTCTTGTATCATTCCCCTATCGATATTTTCATGTCTTAGTTTAAATCAGCGATTCCCAGCGGGGTCGGTATTGAGCCCTTTTGGGTCGATAACATTTTAAAGAAGGTAAATGATGACGGCCGAATTTTCGCTGGCAACTGATCATCTTGATCCAATTAATTACAAAAAAAAATAATAATAATAATAATAATAATAAAACTAAAAATTAAGAACAAAAGTAAAATCTGAAAGGTTTCAGAAATTAAATTACGTCCAAAGGGCGTTTTTTAACATTTTGTGTGTTACCTCTATTTATTCAATATTATATTCTTCGCACTTAAACTATAAAATTCAGTTCGAGAGCAATATTGCGAAGTAATTTTAAATTGAGCGAAACTTTAGAATTTCCGATACACAGTCTCACGCACTGGAGATAAAAATGTTTCTTTCCCTGCAACGTTGCCATTGCATTGCTCGCTTTGAAATCCTTGAGTTTGTTAATCAAAAACTCGTTAAGTTTTACAAAATATGAAATCAATAATAAAACAAATTCCATATTTCAAATTTGGGCTTCCAGATGCCCATATTCGCAGTACATTTACGTCATTTAAAATTTGATGGCTCTAGGTACCGTTGCTTTATCACAATGCGAGAAACATAAATACATTTATGCAGATTCTTCATTATTATTATATTCAAATATAGTGCAGGATTATACTATTTGGTGGCAACAGTTTGAAAAGTGAAACGGACAAGAGTGATTCGACGCAAAATCGCAAAACGAAAACAATTGTCTCTCAGCGGCAAAGCCCGTTTGGACTAATAATTAATTGTTTATTGATGTAGTACTACATCATGCTTAAGGAAGAAATTATATAAAATAAATGCAAGGGAAAAATACACTGAAATTATTTGATACATTTAAAAATCCACTAGACTTTTAAAACGTTATATAAATATATAAATATTTTAAAACGTTATTTATTTATTCGATTTTGCGTCGAATAAGTTCAATAAAATAATTGCAAAACGCAAGAACGCAAGCAAACATACCCCCTCCCCTTAAAAAAGAAAGAAAAAAAAACAAGAAACGGTTTTAACGATGTGATTTAAAAAATAAGTTAAATCATTTTGTGCTAAATATTAAAATAAAATTGCATCACTACATCAAGCTCGCAAATCACATTAATTAAAAGTGAACTTTTGTGCAATTAAAATCTGTGATTTTTCTTTCTGAAAACTTATATATCTTTGTAAAATTAAAAATTGTAATAATGCAAAAAACTAATAATGCATAAATCTAAACAGCAATTTTTCTCAAAACTTGTACTCACATTTTTAATCTAACTGCTATCTTCAGGCTATTTATATGCATTTGTTTGCACTATTATTATGTTGTATATTGTAAAAGGAAAATGTAAGCGGTCTTTGACGAAAACCATTCTTTGAAATGGTGCAATGCAAGAAAATGGTTAGGAATCCTTGCTCTGTATAATGGACATTCTTTTATCTCAATGGAAAAGTAATTAGCGTTATCATATAACAGTTTAGAAATTAATGCAGTAAATGGTCTCTGTAATGTCTAGTATACAGTAGAAAGCTATGTTTCCTGATACACGTATTCATTTTCCTGATATGTTTCCATGTAAGTATACAGATAACAAAAAATTGTTCTGGGATTCGAACTCTATATAGTGAACTGGCATTTCGTATAGCCTTGATTAATGGTAGCATGGTTTTAACGTTACTACAGTTGCTACTGTTTGCTTTAAAAAAATATTCAAGTATATTATAGTTAACATGCTCTTTTTTCTTCCAGTCTGTGCGGGCTTGGGTTATGGAGTTATCAAACTGCAAAACAGCAGAAGAAGGAAAATTAAACTGAGGCAAGAAATGATCATAGGAAAGCACTGTGAGAAACTTGGTAAGTGCGATCTATTTTCAGGAATTAAATAACGGTGCAGTTAATACAGAGATTTGTATGGCCAAATTTTGTGAATTATATACTCTGTGCATGATTGAAACGTATATAATTTTCGATATAAGAAGAAAGACCGAGACTACAAAAATATGTTATCAAAAAATTGTTAAACATATCGCAATGATGCGAATGTTCAAATGTCAATAAATGCCTAAAGTTTTCATTTTATTGCAATAGTTTTCTCTACCCACTATTGTAACTACTAACAGTTTGCCTTAGTGAATTCGACACAACTAGACTTTGAAAACTAGAATTCCTTTCTTTTCAAATCCTGTGAATTATTTAGTTATAAATGTCATGGCTTCTTCAAACCTTATTGTGTAGTGTCCTGAAGATTAGAGGAAAATCGTGAAGGTCAAATGAGCTAACCTCTGGATTACCTCTGAAGAACCTCTTCAGTCTTTACCCCAGTCTAACCTAGTTTAAGTCTTTAGAACTCTCAGTCTCAGAACTTTAGTCTAACATCTGAAGGAATTACTCAGTCTTTACCCCACACCTGTTAAAACATTTCTTTTCAATATGTTGCTTGAATCATTACGATATGTCCACTGTTTTCTAATATTTTTATAACCTGGCATTCTTCTTCAATGATCTGGCCCAATATTATGAATTTACCACTTTCATTTTAACAAAGCGTCACGCTACGAAACTTTTTCTTTAAAAAAGAGAGAAAATCAGTAGCAAAAAATTAATGCAAAATCACATTGTAATTAAAGTCCGGACAATTTTTCTTTTCTGTTACCTGATTCACTATATGATACGAACATTGACAGATATAGTAATTTATGAGATTTTTTAACACAAAATATGACGTCAAAGTATAAGATAGTAAACAAGAGTACCGTCACATGTTATTTCATAACTATAAAATTATAAACAGCTGATTGTAATTTGAAAGACTTCAAATAGTTTGTCTTCTTTAACAGAGTGTGGTCCCTTCGCCTAACTGATCACGCAGATCATGAGGTGAGGTACATTAAAACACGCTGCGATGGAATACGGGAAGTTGATTTGTAAATAAAGCTTGACGTAGAACGTAAAACTTGCTTAATTTGATTGCTGATATTCTGAATAACTTCACAAAAAATTTGATGGGGCCAGCACATGATCCATGTTAAGCCAAAATGGCGGAATAACAACGGACTTGATGTAAACTATCATCGGCGGTGGACTCTTTGTAAATAAAATCTAATTCTTATGAATCAGTGTTAATTATAAACACTATTCATTTTTTATTCTATTTTCCCATTTTCATTTCTCTTCATTTTATTCTCTCCATTCTGTTCTTTCCATCGTTTATTCCATTCTTTATAATGGATATTGATAACAATAGATGCTCTTGTAAACATCAGTTCTCATGCTTTGATTTAAAAACATTGCGTCGATCATAGTACATCATCTGGGCATATAATATTTCGGATTCTCGAATCAATGACGTAACAATCACAAAAATTTTAAAAGGATATCTTTATAATTTTGGACAAAGTATTGCCATATATTTTTATATTATACATATTTTCACTATACTATTCATAGTTTCTGTGTTATTTCTTTAAAAACAATAATTAACGATAACATTTGATGTCAACATCCTTTTATTTGAAAAATGAACATAAAATTGGGCACTAGGATATATATGCATTGAAAACTAATCCATTTAATTACTTTATAACGAGAGATCGTGATCGTGTACGTAATGAACTTATTGTCTCATTTAGCATAACTTTAGGAATACGTTTCATGCTTATAAATGTAATATGCTGTTCTCAATCACATACCTATTTTAAATAGCAAAATTTAAAAGTTTGGGAGTTTCTCATTATATACGTTTTTTACGAATGTCTCTTCAGAGCTTCAAGTAAAATATCACTTTCGGTTTATCAAAATTAGGCAAAATATAATATATTGCTGCCATTGATATAAAAGTCTTGAATAATAAAACTGAAAAGTTTAGGATTGTATTGTAATGTACTTTTGTATAAAAAAATCTTCCAAGAAAAATCACCGAAAATATTACATTCCTTATCTATATGTATGAATTAAACGAGAAGATATGGAAAATATTCAAAAATAGTTTTCAATAAGTTTAAACTAAATAGTTAATAGGTGCAGAAAAGGTTGACCTCATTCCCCCTTGAAAGTATGAAATCCCCCCCCCGGGGGAATTCCTCTCTAGTTGAGAACCCATGCGCTTGCGTAAATAGACCTTTATGGGCTTCAAGTGCAGTACTACTTTCGGTTGTCCAATTTTACCCAAAATCCAATCAATGCGCATGTAGCTTAAACACTAAAAATAGAAATTTTTGGAAGTTTCATATAAGAGTTATAGTAAACGAAAAAATAGTAATTCGCAGAGAGACAGACATCATTCTAAAAGTAGTAAAAACGTGTTGTGGAAATCTTAATTTGTTTGTCTTTTTCCATTTTCTATACCGTAGTGTGACTACTTACTGCTCTCATGCATATAAACCTTTTTAATTACACACAATTTTTAATTACAGTATTACCTGTCACTACTGAGCCCTAAAACAATGTTACCGATATTACGGAATGTCATAAATATCAGTCGATAATAAACATCTTTCGAGAAAATGGATGCATTCTCATTTCCAAATCAATTTATGCAATGTAGCAATTAATGCATGTACTACAGGGCATATAACTAATGTCCTTTTTTTTTTTTTCATCTAACTGTAGAATTTAACTTTATTGCATTTTCAGCAAATTACTGCCTAATTATGCATGTTTGGTGCGACCAGTTTTAGCGTTGAAAATATTTTGAATTCCTTGTCTAATTCCTAAATCGCTGTCTACCAGTAATTTGCGCAGTCTTCTCTCATAAAAGCAGGACAGGATTAAGGGATACAAATTCACCAAAACTTTGTTCCAAAGAATTTAAGGCGATAATGAAGACACGTTTTTTGAAGCAATGGTGTTCGGAATAGGCAGCATGCTTCGAATGCCAGCTAGATTCGAGGTCAAGTCGTTAAAACGATCTTAGCTATCCTCATTGCGTTTGTCCTTCATTTTCGCGCTTCTTTTGAAAAATGTGTTTGACGGCTGTCAGCTGCTTATATTCAAATATTCACCAGCTGTATTCAGTTATGTAACCATCATTCCTTGCAATAATGTACGGTTGGTGAAATAAAAGACGACAACTTTCTTCTGAAGGAATCGAGAAGATTAATCCGCTTCCTTTTCTTTTGCCGTCAGTCGAAAAATAAGTTGAATGAAGGACTGGTGTAAAATGTTTGTGAAAAATAGTCCAAATAGCTCGTGAAAATTATTTGAGAGAAGGACTCTTGTTTTCGTTATATAATGGAAACAGTTGATTATATAGTGGTAGTTGTTCGGAAAATAATCTTTTGGATATTTTTAAGAGCTTAGAAATAATCTTCAGAGCATTTCTTCCTGTTTGACACACAAAATAACACATAAAATAAAAAAGAAAAATGATTGCTTTTTCTTACTCATAATTTATTGAACTTGAATCAAAAGCTTCAGAAACTCGGAATTTACAACGTCTGTGTGAACGATTTTTGCACTAATATTCTATATCTAGACTGACTATATTATGAGCTATATTTTTTAGTTTCCGCTTCTATATATACCCAAACATTTCTAATCTCGCTGTTAGTATTAGTCTTATTCTGCCTCGGATTTGCAGCTTGTAAAGTTTTACTTTTATGATTGTGTTCCCGATAACACACAGGAATATTTACTGAAAGAGCCAGAGCTTATCGATGTGGCTTGTTCTTAATGCATGTAATTCCAGCCTTAAAAATCTACTGTAGTTAAATTTCATAATGTAACGTTTTAAAGCGTAGCGATAATAGCAAACAATGTAGTTTAGTAATAGTGTAATTAAAATAACATTATTTTATAGTAATTAATATGTTTTCAAATAATTACGCGATATTCAATAATTTTCCGCTTCTATTTATAGAAGTTTTTTTTTCTTTACTTTCCCTACCCATTGAAATTCAAATTAAAAATTTCAGAAAACTTAACTCTTAAACCAATTTATGTATATATATAGCATAAACTTTTTTTTTAAATAATTTCTCAATTACAGAAAAATAGTCTTTTCCCAAACCTATACTGTCTGCCTGTAATGCGCTACTGAAATGATCACCATACATGTTAATTTTCTAATTATATTTTTCGACTAACAATATTTATAAACTTTTCATTCAGATGTAAAAGAGTGGCTTCACAACAATCACAAGCGCTGTGTTAAAGTAAAGATAGGACCAGATGATTCTATCTGCACCCTAAATCGAAAAGGGGAAGTGCTTCGGAAAGTGGACTTTCAATCTTCGACTAATGTCGTCGTCGAAGTTACCGAAGATCTCAACAAAAAGCCCATGGTTCTAGTACGATCACCTAGGGATCATGACCTGGTAAGTTATTTAATGGCAAGGAGCTCATTAAAATCCATTACGCTCTGCTAAAAGGAAAACTCTAAGCCACAAATTATTAAACTGAGATGGTTGTCAAGTTTCGCATATCATGTTGATCAAGTTATCGAACAGCAATTGAGCTTTAAAAGATCTAACTGACTAGCAAATTAGTCGGTTTACCATCATTTATAATTAGGCTGTGAGAATATATTTGATTTGTCAATTTTTTTATCATTTTTCAACGCCTTGTCTCCCCTCCCCCAATAATGAATATTATGGTAATAGCTGTCCATGAAATGGCAATCATCTGTTACACTAGCAAATGCCGAGAAAATTTTCTTAAGCGAATTACGAATTTAGGTAGTTATTGCTCAATTAAATATTTATCCTCTTCTTAAAACCAAATTAAATACTTAAATAATTCTTGAAGTCATGTTTTATTACTTCTTCGCTAGCGGATTAAAATTTGGTACATCGTGTTGCCTGAGTGATGGAATTTAAATAAATTACTCTGACAACTTCAGATATGAATCTTCAACCTGGGCATCAATTTTCTATAGGTTCCTCTTGCTTCGTGGGTTTGTCTTTGACGTTGTAAGAACTAAAATAACTTACTTGACCATAGAAACCTCTCATCCACACTTTACTTGGCTTTCAAGCTTGGCTTACATCTGCGCGCATATTGTCTTCTCGATGGCGCATCAGAATTCCTATGCGAATATTCTTTAAAGTATGGATTCTCTATATTTATGTTATCGAAGAATTTACCGTATTCATCACAATATCAGAGGCAACTTCATGCAGCAAGAATACACGCGAATCCTAGACTGAAAATCTAAAATGAAAGACTTTAGTGAAATTTACGGAAACCTGCAGCGATCTAGCTAGTAAGAAATTTCAGGTTTCATTCATAAAAAAATCGTAATGTTTCCTAATATAGGATTTGAACCCGTGATTTGAATGTCTCAAGATTAAAAGCCTCGTGATTTTTTAACTAATATACTTTTATTTAATAAAATGATGCTCTTCTTATGATGTTGATTTAGAAAAATTAATATTTTAATGATTAAAAAAGCCTGAGATGTATTTATATCGATATGCAGTCTCCGCTTGTAGTGAGTAGAAGTTTTCGTAATATTCATATTTTACTAGTTTTCTGTTCTGCGAGCATGCCACAGATAGCTGACAATTAGGAAATTCGAAATGCCTGTGATACTTAGCCTGATGATATAATTTCGAATATATTACTTTTCTGTCTGAAATGAAGAGGGAGAGGGAACTGCTGATTTCAGTTCTTCGCGTAACATCATTCTTTGCTAATAATCGTGTCGTAACTCACCCAGTCAAAGTCATGAAAAGGAAAGTGATGAAAATCCTTCCAACGTGTTTCACTTATTGTGAAACAGCATTTGACGGCTTTGCTATAAGGAGATTTCAGATGCCTAGTCAGTTAGTTCCCAGCTGGATACACAGCCCTGGAGCTATGATTACGATATCATCAAGAAATGAAAAACAATGATGTAATGTTAGGTGTGGAAAAGAAATAACAGCTGTGAATTACGATCCTATAGTCAAGATTTAGGCTCATTACGCGTATTAAGAATGATCTTCTCATTACTGAGGTAAAACATTTAGTAATGAAGAACTCAGAATAAAGCATTTTTGATTTCAACCTGATGCATTCAAAATTACTTATTAATGAGTTATTTACCCAACAGAATCTATTAATTAATCTAATACCAAAATGCTAATTATTATTTAAATAAAACCGTGACTAATTTAGTTCCATAATTTTACATTTTAAAAATAATTTCTACCTAATTATTCTGATTTTAAATTTAATACATTGCAATTTTCGAATATAATACATTTAATTTAAATTAGTTAAACCGTAAAATAATAAATTAGGCTACTTTTTCTATATTACTGTCATTAATAGCTGCTTCAAATTGTGTTTTGTGTTTCAAGGATATTTTCTATTCTTTGCTGAAACAATATCTCTAGACAGCCAGACAATCATAAATAAAATAAAATTATGATTATATTCAAATTTTATTTGCTCAAAATTTATGGCATGAATTATTCTCCATTGTTTAATTTAACTTAATGATGTGTACATATCTGCAAGGTTAAAGGAAAATTGTTAAACCATGTCCTGAAATTGAAAGCGTTACATAAAAGAACGTAAAATTTATAAATTTCTTTCATGCAGTTCTCGAATTATAAGCATTTTTCTTGATTGTATCAATGATATAAACGTTAATAATATTGTTGAAATGTATGTGTATAGTTTTTATGTCACAAAACTTGCTATAAGCAATGCTGTATTGTACTTTAAAACAAAATCAAACAAAAAACTTATGCCGTATGGGATGGCAATAGTTTTCAGAACTACCAATTTGAATTATTGGTTTTCTAAGTCACTTGACTGATGAAGAAGTTAACTGCGATTTGTTGTCCCAACAAAACATGATGCGAAAGAAGGAAACGTATGTTAGGTACGTTCTAATATTCTAATGCAAATTTCAGAGTTTACATTTTGATGTATTCGGTGATGGATGAGGCCGGTGAAAAATGAAAGTGCTAACGTGTTCTTCATTTAACACAATGTTATTACAAAGAGCTTATAAGTCTGTCTCGTCCAATGACTGTTACAATCACATTTAAAAAACAGTTCAGAGAACATTTTCTTAAATAGTAGCTTCTTTTAGCACTTTCAAAAGTATCTGTTTTCTTTTTAGGTACTTCAATTTAGCAATGAGCCATCTCGCAAGAAGTTCTTGAGCAAGCTGGAGTCGTTCCTCACCAGCAGTAAGAAAAGTTTGGATATTCTTCCCACATACCGAGATGTCATGCTGGCGAATGCAGAGACCAAAGAAAAAAGGCAGAAGAGACTAGAACATTTCTTCCGAGAAGCATATGCTTTGGTATTTGTATTTTCTTACTCGTGATAAGAAACTGGATATTACAATGAAAATTGCTGTTGTTATTTAGGCATCCTGCTAGTCTTTTTTTAATTGTTTCACTCTAGATGTACTTAAATGCTAAATATGTATTCTCAACTTTATATAAAATAGTACTTAAATGACATCCTAAGAAACTAGCTAAGAAAGGAACAGTTATTCTAATCGATTTTTCCTACACTATTGTGTACAATGACATTAAACGTTAAATTTTAATTGTTCTTGCATAGATTATTTCATCTAAGATCGCAAAATTTATTGATATAATGTATTCGTCAGTAAACACTTAACAGATGGTATTGGTTTCGAACTTAAATTGAATTACCATCACAATATATAGTACAGTATTTACTCGATATATGTTGGTACTTTCATGATGGTAATATGGGACATATGACGTATGATAATGAATCAAACTGGCGGCTTTGAGGACGTTGAAAGACCTCCTGTAGGAAGGAAAATCATTTGTGCCAGAAGTCCTTCGTCAAGAATGCACAGCAACGTGTGAAGTAATATTCACAGACACATTGACCAATGTTGTTCAAATAACTGCTAATATATAATAATAATAATAATAATAATAATTAGTTTTATTTCGAGCATGTCTTCCTGATGTAACGATAGCAGACTCAGTGAGTATTCGAGAGGTCCAGAGTTACAGTCCCGGCGAGGGCATGGCACATTTTTCACGTTCCCAGCACCAAAAAATCTTAATGGTCTACATCTACAGTTTGATCGATCATTAAATCTTAATTAATCTGCTTTTAATAGTCAATTAGGCATCCCTCGGAGTACTGAAATTCTGGTAATTTCTAAAAATTTGGTTATCTTTAGACTCTAGTTTCTCCTGTAAAATTGAGGAAGTTTTAATTTATGATCACTTAGGTGCATAATCGTAATTTAACATAACGTAAGTTTCGATTACCCTCAAATTTTAATTAAATTTTACCGGTCTATCAATGTTTCTTAAAATTTATTTTGAGTTGTACCGAAATAAAATATTTGTCAGAAAAAAAAAAAAAAAAAGATCCATCTAAAAGAGAATTATGGCTGCACTTTATAATGGTTGTATAATAATGCATTACTATAAAATAATCCAGCAATAAAATGAAATAAAGCCAGTTTAACTTCAGCTGGTTTAAATTTTTTTGGAGCCATGACTAAGCAGATTATTATTATATTTTAATCAAAGAAAATCGTTTGCAATAATAATACAACAGCAGTAGTCAAAAGGCTAAAGCCATTCTCAAAATATACTCATTTTTTCAGACTTTCGGTCTTCGACCAGGTGAGAAGAGGCACTTGGAAGACGTAAGCAGCGACGTCATCATGGTCATGAGAACTTCCCTATCAAAGAAAGAGTTTGCTGAAGCCTTGGGTATGAGGCCAGAATCTTTATTCGTGAAGCAAATGTTCAATTGCGTGGACAAAGATAAGGATGGAAGAATTAGTTTTCAAGAATTTCTGGATACGGTTGTGCTCTTTTCAAGAGGTCGGTTGCCTTTATATTTACAGTTTATAAAAATTTTCAAAGAATTTTGGCGCCTTTATATGCACCATAATTCACAAACACTACAGTTATTGATATGTTAAGACTTTTATATAGCAGTGGTCTTTAAATCGTAAATGTAAAGTGATAAAAAATACCTAAAAAAAGGCACTTTTCAAGACTTAAAAAAAAAATCTGATGTGTGCACCACATGACTTCCTTGTACGTAATATTAAATTATACGCATTTTTTCTTGGAATTTTCATTTAAACTCAGTGGACTGTATTAAATTTACTTCGTCGATAGCGCATAAACCACAATAGAATAAAATGCACTCTTTAAAATTCACTATAATTTGTTTACCAAGGCGACATTCTCTAGGTTCACTTCACAGCGTTATATTTCATTCATTTTTTAACTCAGAATGCACAAAATTTATATCATCTTAAGAATTATCTAATCATTGCCACATGTTCTATTCAAATACTTTAATAAATCTAAAAAGATGCATAAAAGAAATTAAGCAAACAACAACCAAAAAAAAAAAGAAAAAGAAAGAAAAGAAAAAGAAGGAAACAGCAGTTTTTTGCAGACAATTCAATATTTTTCATTCAATTATTTCAGATTTCACTTCGCGACAAGGCAAAAATACATAAAAACTCAAGATATCTGCATTGAAAATTATGAAGTATATCTTAAACACTTACTTCCTCGAATAAATTCCAGAATAGATTAAGCATGATTTAATTCGCAATAATAAAAGAAGGCGTTATCTTTGTTATTGCGAAGCTTACTTTCTCTAGATTGGAAAAAAATATACTAATTTGCTGCTTCAAATGTAAACAAACAGGGCCACCACGGCAAAAATAATTAGGCTTAGCCGCACTTAAATAACTTTTAAATTATTGATAATTCTAAAAATATTGCATGCAGATTTAGACATAAAAAGCTTAACCGGAAGATATGAACAATATAATTTAATCATTTTTAAAGCAAAAAATGCACAATTTACAAACATAAAGGAATAAAGAAACTGAGATTACTGAGCCGAGTAACAGAGTGGCTATCCACTCTATATTACTTGTACGAAGTAAAAAGGAAATATTGTAATCGCGAAAATTTTCAGGTATCATATTTCAACGAAAATATCCGTTTTCGCCGCTATCGAATGCAATTTAACGATGTTTTTACGTGACATCTGTACATAAGGACAGAATAAAGGATTCTTTTCTCCAAAAAAATTATAAAACTGATTTAAAATGAATTCTGAAAATAACGTTTCGTGGCGTTTGTGCGTACGCACATACGTATCTCGCATAACTCATAAACGGGTAGCCTCAGAAAGTTGAAATTTTATATGGGATTGCTATAATATATATATATGCGGCCGATTGCAACCATAATATGTCATGTGTCACATAAAACATATGTTTACATATGTCACATAAAAACATCGTTAAATTGCATTCGATAGCGGTGAAATGGATATTTTCGTTGAAATATGATACCTGAAATTTTTTGCGATTACAATACTTCCTTTTTACTTCGTACAAGGAAGTAAAAATGGATCTCAAATTACTAAATCCTTCTGAATATATTTCTTAAATTGTCCTCTGCAATATAATATTATCATTTCTAACTAAGGTACATACTAGATCAAGGGTCGGTTTATAAAAGAAGAGGCCCATCTTGCCTGAATTTTTGGGAGTCCATCTTCTTGACAGACAAAATAGGTTACTATTAAAAAAAAAAAAAAAAAAAAAAAAAAAAAAAAAAAAAAGAATGATTTAGAGGCTCTTTGGAACGTCGAACTATTCGCGACCTCATAAATCTGCCTCTGGTTTAAATATATAATCATTATTTGAATTATTTTGTATTTTGATATTGCGTGAATGCGAACGAAACTCAGTTACGAATGTTTTCCATGATTGGCAGTATAACTCTCTAAATCGAATTTATTCTTTAAATCAATGGATATTGAAACATATAGAGTTACACAATGAGAAACAAAAATTGTGCATTTACTTCATTATGAAAATCCCAATAATAAAAGAAATATGCATAGTATAAAAAGTATAATAATGTCTTTTTAAAAACAGATAATTTTCTTTGATAAACAAGTATTAAGAAAAACATTTTGGTGCAAAATCCCCCCCCCTTCAAAAAATTATTCTGGAGTAGATTTTTGAGTCACCGATGGTATTAACATTCCTTTTCGTCAGGAGAAAGCATATTCAGCAAATTTGTTTCTACTTCTCTACTTTGACAGAGATTTGTTATCTGCTAAAGCAATAAATAATTTTTCAATTTAATATAAATATTGCAGCATGATTAAGTCACAAAAAATTCAGTGGCTGTAGTGCCTATGATGGCCTGACATGGCTTCGAATTTTATCCTCGTTTCTACGTGGCAAATGTAGCTAAACTTCCTTATACGACAGTTCAGGCCAAAATAATTTCAAAATCAGGTGGAAATTAATTAAATATATTTAAAAAATTTAAAGATAAGAAAAGTAAAGACAAAAATTTTAAGCATTATTGAGTGCTGAACCATGAATACAACCAGTTTTAGTAGATGAACTGAGGGAATCACGATAATAATGAGAACTTAAAAATTTGCTATATATGTGACAATGCTTCAACTGAAGAGTATATTTGAAATGCAAGTAAAATTAATAATAATTGTTATTTATCATGTTTTACATTAATTAATGAAATTTAAAAATTCATGTTAACATCGTTTAATTTTATAAAAATGCGATTTTAGATGTATAGAACGTATTTCTACATTTATATTATGCAATTATTCTTTTACTAGATTTTTTATGCTTTAACAATAAAAACGTAACACTGGAGTAAAGCGAGATCTGGCTGTACCTGAGTGCAGCCAAGCTTTGTAGGAGGCCTTTGTGTGCTTAAGTACATCGCTTGTTATTTTCCTGTGACTGGTGGCAAGAGACGAAGGCTAAAAGATTTTCGACTCTCAGTCAAAATTAAAGTAGCAAGTCTGATAATTGCAGACGCTGGGGTATACAATCTTAACCCTTAATAACAATCGAGTACTACTTTCAGTTATTATCATCAGAAGGAAATTTAAAAAAAAACTTTCATTCAATCAATCACTTGCTTTCGAATGAAAAATTATGCAGTATTTTCTATGAAGCTTTTCTATACGCAGAACTTTCTCACAAGTAGTTAGTAGATCAAGTAATGGTGTCTTGCATTTTAAAGTGATAGCACATCAAACGTTCGTGTTGCCACATAGCAATTTACTTCATAATTCCATTTTTTTACATAGTAACCGTATGTTTTCTCATGATAGGTAAGACGGAAGACAAACTCCGCATCGTGTTTGACATGTGCGATGATGATGGCAATGGCGTCATCGATAAGCAAGAATTGACGAAGATGCTCCGCTCTTTGGTCGACATTGCGAAGACCAATTCCATGGATGAAGCTCAAGTCATGGAACTCATTCATGGAATGTTTGCCGCTTCGGGACTTCACGACAAGGAAGAGCTTAACTACGATGACTTCAAACTGATGATGAAAGAATACAAAGGCGATTTTATAGCAATTGGACTGGACTGCAAAGGTAACTTGAAATGCCAAAGAAATTCATTCGTAATGATTCGCCACTCTGTTATAAATAAATGTGTAACTTTAATATTCCCAAGCCTTACCACACTTTTCTAAAACTCTTTTGAACACTGATTTTTTACATTTAATTTTCCTAGCTTTTGTAATTCTTGCCATTGGAAGTATGTGTTTGTTTATAATCCGAAAAAAAATCCATTTTTTCGCATACGAATTTCAGTTCATGCAAGAATTTAGAGGTTCATAAAAATTGTGATTTTAAAATAAAATCTAATTTCTCAAACCTCAAATATATTATTGCAGGTCAACAGATTATTTATATCTCCTGAATAATCAGGAAAATCAGGTCAAAGGAAAAGGTAAGCTTATTTTTACAAATAACTAAACCAGCTGAGATTATGAAGTATTTCCTCCCTTCTTTCCACGTGTCTTCGTGGTGTAACTGGATAGTATGCCCAGTGTGTTATCAGGAGTAGAGTTCGAATTCCGGTGAGGTCATTGCGGATTTCTTCAGTTTCCTGACATCGAAGAATTCTGAAAGAATCTACGAGTAGTGCCCATTCCCAGTCGCCCTTTAAAAGGAAGAGTATATACAACGTATTTTCTCCCGGCGGGGCACTGCACATTTTTCACGTCTTCTGCATCAATAAACCTAATGACTTTACAAATAGCTCACTCAGAATTTTAAGATATTGTTCAAAGTCTTTTTAACAAGAAATGAATATCACACATTCTATCTTAAAAATTCATAATAACAGTGATAAAAACATCCATAATTTCTGAATAAAAGACAAACAACTGCTATTGATTCATTGAGCAACAGATAAAAATCATTGAGTACAAAAATCATTGAGTAACTCAAATTATTTATATACATTTAACTCTTTCCGGCACGCTAGCTTTTAAAGTTGGAATTTAGATTAAAAAAAAAAGATAGGCCTAGAGGAGTACACAAGTAAAATTTTGTGAAGATAGCACTTATCTTTTAATTCTGGGTTGTGCCCAAAGTGGGCACACTGATTGAATAGAGCTTCGAAAAGAGTGCTGAAACGAGCATTGTTGTCAATGAACTGACCGATGAGATGCAAATAAACAAAGAATACAGACTCTCAGTTGTTCTAGATTATCAGTGAGCCCGGTCTGGGCACACCTAGGGTTCGCCGTTTGATTTTAGGCAAGATTTCAAGGTAAAAATTTAAAACTAATATAGAATAAGAAGATTAGCATACAGCCAAAAAAATAACATAGAAATTTCTTTTCAAACAATTCCCTTTATACCTTAAAAAATATGGAAGATTTCTTTGAAAAATGAGAGTCTTAAAACTAAACATGGCTAAAATATATGGATTGTTTTGTGTTGACCTGCCATCTACTATAAATAAAGAAGATTCAGAGTATAATAACCTATAAATCCTTTTTCATTTAATTTTTGTGTGCGTACAGAAGGAATTTTTTTTAAATTCAGTATCCGCAAAGGGTTAAGGAATGTTCTTGCCAAAGCAGAGGAGGCGAAGGACAATTGCATCCTTAGAATATTCTAGAAAAATATTCCTTAGGCTTTCTAAATTATTAAAATATTTTTGACACCAAAAAAAGGGTACTCATTCGTTCTATTCAAGCTATTTATACAGTCTGACTCATAAATACTATATATTTCACACAGACTTACAAATATTGTATCATAAACCCATTACACGGATAAAAAATGTACAATAAATGCCCGCAAATTTAAATTTAGTCAAAATTGTGCAAAGATATAACTTAAATGCAATAAAACAAAATAAATAAAAAAAAAATACTCAGTGACATTAAATAAATAAAAACTAATGTACAAATGAAAATAAATGTACTCAAATACTATATGTAAATTTATAGTAATACTAAGTGTAAATAAAACGTAAGAAAGATTTTGTATGATAATTTTCTTTTCTCTTTCATATTTACTTTCAGATTCTTTTTAAATGCACTGAAATTAATCGCTAAATAGTTTTGTGACCAATAACAGATGGTTTAATGTTGTTTCTTTCTGCTTGCAGGGGCTAAGCAAAACTTTCTAGATACGTCAACTAATGTTGCGAGGTAAGAAATCACATAAATATTCTACTCATTAAATTTTCTTTTCTTTTTCGGACTGCTTGAGGATCTGCCAATTTATGTTCTTAGTGCTGATGGTTCCCTGTTTTCTGTATTTTAGAATGACAAGTTTTCAGATTAGTCGACCTCCCGAAGATCCTCCTGGGTACTGGAAGAAAAAATGGAACCACTTGGCTACTTTCTTAGAAGAATACAGACAACATATCTTTTATTTATTCGTATTCTACGTCATTACTTGCGTCTTATTTTTAGAACGATTTGTCTGTGAGTACATCTAAAATCTTATTTTACTTTAAATCTTGTACTTTATGTTTACTAATCAAATATTATTCGATTCAACTCAATATCTTTCTACGCTGAAATGTTTTTCTTTAACATTAGAGTGAAATTACAAATGATTGGTTTTAGAAAAATTATGTGACTAGAACCAAATATTATGCTAAGTTGTTTTAAGTTATGATTGAAAGTTTAATGGAAACGAATGCTATTCCAAATTGGTCTCAATTAGGTAACTTGCAACACTTCGAAAAATTTAATCAGAGAAGGATTTTTTAAAAAGTTATTGAATGTTGCTTTTCAGAAACGTTATTGAGTAAAAATATGTGAATACATTAAAAAAGGTTATTTCCAACGAAAGTTATTGAGTAAAACTAAAGGTATTAAATGCTGCTTCCAGGAAAAGGTAATGATTACAAATATGTAATTGTAACCAAATTTCTAATTGAAAATGTATGCAAATTCTTTTCTCTGATAATGACAGGAATTTATGTTTTGGTATACCATTTTACTCCTACACTTCCTCTCAGTATTAATTTTAACACAAGCACTTTTAAAGTGTAATATAGAACTCTGATTCGTTAACATATTCCCTCTTACTCCCTAAATTCATGGAGTGAACATCTATACAAAATGAACTAGCTCCCTGAAATTTCTGTGTGTGTTGTTTCTTGTACACGAATTCCGAGGCCATTCATTGAACAGTACACAATTCTAGTCAAGAAATATTTATCCTTCCTTCTGGTGGACATGTAGAGAAGGAAAGAAAAATATCATAGATTATAAAGATACAACTCTCAAAAATTTAATCCTTGGAAAACAAGGAGATCGGAAAATACATATCTTTACACTCGACAGGAGTAGATACAAAATATCGAAGAGATGGTTTGTCCAAAATATCGAACGTTGCTCATGATATTTTGCCTGAGTTCATATATCCTCATAAATCATATTACATATTAATATATTTAATGTGTTCTTTTCCGAAAAAAATAAAGTAGTTGCAACAGTGGAATGACAACTTATTGCCCTTCTTTCTGCGGTCCACATTATAATAGATGGTATGGGTACTGAAGATACATTCAGTTGTTCTCTCATTCTTTGCATCCCATTAATATTTATTGTTGTAAGCTTTTATCGGTAATTTGAGTCTTCAGATTTAAATTAGGAAGGTTACTTTTTTTAACCATTGTCCAAGGTACTGTTAACAACATACTGTACAACAATAAAATATATTGAAGTAATAATTGATAATATACCTAATTCATATGCGATTTTAAGTCACATAAGCTTTTCTTTTAGCATATCTCTCAGAACTCATTTATGCCAATTACTTACCTTTCTCTATTTTTGAATAGTAAAATTAAAGAAAATACGAAAACGATTAACATATTTTTTAATTGCCACTTTTATTTTCTAAATTATTTATTTACCTACTATGACTGCTAAAGTTTCTGTGTTGTTTATTTTGAATGTTATTGCAAAAAAAAATGGAATTTAATGATGCGTTCTTTACAGTTTACTCCTATTTTGCGGAGCACACTGATCTGCGTCATGTGATGGGACTTGGGATTGCTGTAACGAGAGGATCAGCGGCTGCACTCTCCTTCTGCTACTCCTTGCTTCTACTAACTATGTGCAGGAACCTCATCACGAAGCTGCGAGAGCTGCCTATTCATCAGTATATTCCCTTGGACTCCCATGTCCAGTTCCACAAGGTAGTGGCCCTGACAGCTCTTTTCTTTTCAAGTGAGTATCTGTTTGTTTCAGTGATTCAAACAGTATAGTTCGCTAATCTATTACTGAAGCAAACTTTAAATCAGAAATACTGAAAGATCGCCTGTAGCACCTAAACGGCATCATTTCGTCTCTCATAGAAGAAAGCAATAGCTACTAAAGTTTTCTATTTCTTGCCGCCCCCCCCCCGCTCTTTGCAATGTATCAGACTCTATTCTCTAGTAACAGTGCTTTTATTCAAATGATGCCTTACAAATAAAATTGAAAATAAAGTACTTTTAGATATATAAAACTTAAACACAAATTTAAGACTTAAAAATTCCTCGAGCTATGATTCCAGATAATTTTAGTTTTCTATGCTGGTTGTCGCCTTAGAGAACGTAACTCTTGGTGTTAACTGTTATTTAAATAAGTTTCCACTCATACTATATTTTTCAGAATGGTCATATTAGAGAAATGTTTATTGTGAAAGGTTAGCTGTAGGGTAATTTTGCGTAAGTCGTATCCCTTAAGAAAAAAAAATCTGATGCGTACACCACATGACTTCTTTGTACGAAATATTAAATTATACGCATTTTTTCTTGCATTTTGTCTAAACTCATTGGATTTAATTATATCTACCTCCCCGCATAAACCACAATAGAATAAGTGCATTCTTTAAAATTCACTCTATTTGTTTACCATAGCGACACTCTGGCGCTAGGTTCACTTAACAGTATTATATTTCGTTCATATTATAACTCAGAATGCACAAAATTTGTATCATTTAAAGAATTATCTAATCGTTGCCACATGTTCTATTCAAGTACTATAATAAATCTAGAACGATGTATAAAAGAAATTAAGCAAACAAAATAAAAAAAGAAACAGTTTTTCACAGACGATTTAATATTTCTCATTCAATTAATTCAGTTCTCACTTCGCGACAAGGCAAAAATACATAAAAACTCAAAATATCTCTACTAAAAATTACTAATTATTAAAAATTAAATTATTAAAAATTAAGTAAATCTTAAACACTTATTTCCTCGAAAAAATTCCAGAGAGGATTAAGTATGATTTAAATCGCAATAATAAATAAGGCGTTTATCTTTGTTGTTGCGAAGCTACGTTTCTCTAGATTGGCAACAAATTCACTTCTCAGCTGTTTCAAATGTAAACAAGCAATGGCCGCCATCAAACAGGCTTAGCGACACTTAAACAACTTTTAAATTGTTGATAATTCTAAGCATATTGCGTACAGATTTACTAAAGGCATAAAACCCTTAACCGGAAGATAAAAACAACATAATTCAATCATTTTTAAAGAAAAAAATTTACAATTTACAAACATATAAGAGTAAAGAAACTGAGATTACTGAGCCGGGTAACAGAGTGGATATATTTATAAATATATTTATATATGTTTAGCATGGCCGATTGAAACCAAAATACGAGGTGCACATCTACATGTTATACTAGTCCTATATACAAAATTTCAACGTTCTGAGGCTACTCATTTTTGAGTTATGCGAGATACGTACGTGCGTACGAACGCACGTACGTATATACGTTCGTACAGACGCCACGAAAAATTCTCTTCAGAATTCATTTTAAAGCAGTTTTTTTAGTTTTTTTTTTTTTTTTTTTTTTTTTTTTTTTTTTTTGGGAGGAAAAGAGTCTTTTATTCTGTCCTTACGTACAGATATCACGCAAAAACATCGTTAAATTGCATTCGAAAGCGGTCAAAGTGGATATTTTTGTTGAAATATGCTGCCTGAAGCTTTTCGCGATTACAATACTTCCTTTTTACTTCGTACAAGGAAGTAATAGGTTTAAATGGTAAGATCTATGAAAAAAATAATAATTATGTGTTGTAATATTTTGTTTTGTTGTTGCTGATATTTTCTCCAATAAAATTCCGTCTAATATTAGTCTAATATCTTGGATAAAATAAATAACATTTCTGAACAGGAACTTAATACGACTTAGACAACGAGTAGTCTAAGTCGTACTACGTTTAAAATTAGGCAATCATAATAAAACTTTCTTTTTCTCAATTATTTTATTTATACAACTAATTGCAGCATTGATCATAAAGATAATTTTTCATTTTCTTGTCAACTCCAGCATATAAGTGGTACCCATCCTTTGCATTTTAGGCACTGAATAATATTCTCTTTGCGGTCTTTCTCACAAATATAACAGGGAGACGAACACGGCGTGAAGCAATAAGGTTAACCTAAAGAATAAAACTCGTTTTTCCGAAATAGGCGCAGTTGGCGTAATATTACGCCTACTACTTAAAAGTACGACTTAAGCTCTGGTAAGACACGTAATCTTACACAATATATACTTGTCATTTATTAATATATAGTGTTATTACATTTATGAAATATAAATAAGGAGGAATTCTTGTTTTTTCTACGCTTTCGTAAGACCTGCGAGTAACTTTCTACCTCTTTTTATCACGTGATTTCAACAGCTTTTTCATTGATTTCTATCGTGAGCTTTTAATTATTTACAATTTGAATTAAGTTAAGCAAATCATTCTTGAAACTATGAAATTGTTCCGTTAGGAGGCTGAAATTCCTCCTGCCTAATGCCTTGGTGGCACATGTTCCATACCAAACATGGAACAGAAATATAAAATATCGAACATTGATCATGACAATTTGTCTAATAAATTTATATATCTTCATCAGTCCAGCCTATCAGTCTGACGTAACGAAGATGCCGCGTTCTATATCTGGTGGCAGTGCTGTTTATTTTGCAGTGGTTCTAGTCCATTGTCATTCCCATTTCATTTCTAAGTCGCAATGTATTTGATGAGTATTGTGCAGATTTTCAGTAAATATATGAAAAATCATTTAACTCGGAACCATCTTGTGGGGCACCTCTCAAGCTGGTGTATATGACGGTGTACTGTCATTAGGCTTATTGTTGCTGGAGACGTGAAAAATAAGCATTGCCTCGCCTGGGCTCGAACCTAGACCTCTGAATACGCGCCGAGTGTACCATAAGACCTTTGCACAAAATGTGCTTTCTGGAAGAAGAGAGTACATTTCGTTACCTTATATACTTCCCTTTTTAAAGGGCAAATGGGGATTAGAGGACCCAATCGCCAAATCCTGGTGATTGCGAATTATTGTCCACCGCCTTTTAGTTCGTGTGCCACTATATGGTCTTTAGTTTTTTTAATGCTGGAGACGTAAAGAATGTGCAATGGTCCCGCCAGAACTCAAACATGGACCTCTCGAATACGCACCAAGTGTGCAACCGTTACACCATAAAGGCATGCTGGAAGAAAGGAGAAAATACCTTATAACCGCTTCATTTATTTCTTTGTTGAAATGGCGTGGCCTGTCATGACCATAAGACCAACTTGTTTGGTTAGGCGGGTCGGGAGCTCAAGTCACCTGGGACTTTTGGCTAAAGATAACAATCACGCGACTTCTAAGATATTCTTCGTCAACAAATGAGAACATTTCCACTTAACTTTGTTCGGTCTTACAAATATCAATCGATCAGTCGATCGCAATATGGAGTGGGCAAAACCACTCAACATTGCGAATTTGTGCTCAGTATTAAATGAATCGATTATACAGAATTCTTGTTGTTTTTTCTGCGTAATGTTAATACAAACCTAATTTCTTCCATAAAACCTTACGCAATTCTCTGCAGAAGCCCAACGTGAAGGCATTTCTTATTTTCTAGCAATATCCTGAGCTTTGCTTACAAATTACAAATTTTAACTAATTTTGTGAATCTGATAATTACCTCGAAATTATTATTAATTAATTATAATTTCACATTAATAGAATTGGAAGCTATTTTCTAATAATTCGCTCTGTAACTTTGAAACTCTGTAAGTGCACTGAGTATCATTTATAGAATTTAAACGATTAATTTTTAAAAACGTTCTTTTCCAGTGATTCACACAATAGGGCATTGTATCAACTTCTATCACGTGTCTACTCAACCGATTGACAATCTACGTTGTCTAACCAAAGAAGTGCATTTTGAGTAAGCTTTGCATATATATTTCTTTCTCCTACAATTCATTTAAAATATTTGTAGTCTCGGGAAACGAATTAATTTATGTTTTTATTTTCTAGTTCTGATTTCAAACCAACGATCTCATATTGGCTTTTCCAAACTGTCACTGGTAAGTTAAACGCACTTTCGTTAATATTCTTTCTAAATTTATATTTAGAGTGGATTACATGCGTGGTTAGTTATCGGGGAAAACTAAAATTCAGTCATCTGTGCATGAATTTGCTATGCATAGAAAAGTTCTTAAATTGGGGATACTAAATGCTAAAAAACATTCTCTGCAGAGAATTATGTTTATTTATTATACTTTAATGATATCATTACTGAGGAGTAAACTTTTTTTAAGAATAGGTATTACAATATGCTCTGTAAACTTGTAAATATTTAATTATAGGTGTCCGAAAGTTAATAATAAATCTTTCTTTTTCTTAGGAGTATCTGGAATCTTACTATATGCAATCATGTGTATCATCTTCATATTTGCACATCCCAGAATCCGCCAAAAAGCATACAAATACTTTTGGTCAACTCATAGTCTGTACATTCTGCTATATATTTTGTGCCTTGTTCATGGTCTGGCAAAAATTACTGGGGTGAGTAAGGATATTAATAACCGTTCCTCAATGTAAACAAACAACTATAAAAAATAATAAAATGAATCCAGTCCTAAAGCTTCAGATTACACCCTAACATCTCAAAAAGTAATTTACTATTAAATTATTTTTATTTAAAAATATATATAAATAAAAAAATGTAAAATAAAAATAATAAAGCCTGAGTATCAGGTAAGAAACTTAGTTCACTAATCACAACAAAGCCACAAATGTTCATAAAAATTTTTAATAGCTAGCTATATTTATTATATTGTATTTTAATTTACGTCAATCAGCTACATGATTAAAAAATAAAATATCAGTTATTAAAAAGGGCATTTATTGTTTTTAAATCGTTCGGCTTTTTAATTAAAAACAATCTGATTTTAAAACATAAATTAAATATCTCATACTTTGTAAGTTATCGCACTTTGTGATTCGGCTATGGCGAGAATGATTGAAAGCGTAAAAGGTCTTTCACGCATTATAAGCACTTTCCAAGCAAGAAATAACTAAAAGCACTATATCACATACTACATGATTAATCATAATTTTAATTGCTTTGGCATTTTTGCTAAATATTTTTTCCCTCGCTTTTATCTGGGTGTATTTATTGCTTTACAAAATAAATTTTAAATATTTTTTCTTCCCTGCTTCTTCCCCAAACAAAACCCACTAGTGGATAAGTCGTTAAGCTAAACAAATTGGGTATCATGTAGCTGAACAGAACACATGCAACCACTTTATTGGAAAACTGAGCAACATTTCGACATTTCGTGCTGGGCTAAATTTTCAGATAAATAAGCTGACTGCATGAGCTCTTCTTGATTTTTTTTTCCATGTGCAACAAGAATACATGTTGTTTTCCTTAGAAAACTCTCCATGATCGTATCACCCTAACAGCGATAACCTTCGGTGCTAACAAATAAGTAATCCTGTCCCTTAGGCGAAATCTCTGAGGATGACAGACTTTTCTTCGTACGTACTCTCATTTACGCAATCATTTCTGTCTAGCATTGGCTGATTGATTTGAAGAACTGGGCACTAGTATTTGTATCCTGGTCTTCAGTTCCTGGCTTAATCGTGTGTATTTTTATGGTAACTTTGTGCATAGCATATATATAAACCATTTTCTCTTAGAACATATTGTACGAAGATACCCTTTCTAAGCCCGAATGTATTAAAATAAAAAATAATATTCGTCGTGCTTCATTTTTAAGCATGTGTGTAGAAACTCCCTACTATTCATTGGCAGCTATTTTTGAATTCTTCAAAATTTGCTGCTCTCTAATTCTCAATTTTATAATCATTTGAAAACGATTATAGATTTTAGGTGGCAATGTCATATGTTTGTAAGGGAAATTGTCTTTATGTAAGCAAATGAAGATAGCCAAATTAAAACTTTCCAACACTTATTACTTTTGTCCTCAGTACAGTGATTTTGAACCTTCTGCTTCAGTTACTTGATTTTGTGAAATTGTACACGTATGTTCCTCAACCAAACAGTTTAATGAATGACAAGTCATATCTGTTGAACATTTAAGGAAGAACTATTTTACTCTTTAAAACATTCATATACATATTTATAAGGAACATTTTTATATGTGTATTTATATAGATAAATATGTAATGTATTTGATTCCAAATTCACTGACAGATATACGCTAATTATTAATCCCAAGCGTTAAATGTAAATTTAAAATATAATGCTAGGATGTCTTTCCTAATTTAGCCTTAAAATTCTTTCAGACGCCTCGATTTTGGATCTTTTTTGTCGGACCAGCTATCATCTTTGCATTGGATAAAGTTGTTAGTCTTCAAACTAAATTTGTTGAACTAGATATTCTTGACACTGAACTTTTACCTTCAGGTAAGTTGCAGAATTATTTGCTTCTTTTCCAAAGAACAGGTGCATTTAGTACCAAAGTTAAAACATTCAAATTCAGCATTTTTGTAAACAGAATAGCTATGCAAATTCAACATATCATTCTTCATTTCCAGATGTCACGAAAGTAAAGTTCTCTCGTCCACCAAATTTCAAGTACCTATCCGGCCAATGGGTACGACTGGGATTCACCGCTTTCCAACCTAACGAGTACCACTCCCTGACGCTAACTTCTGCCCCGCATGAAAACTACTTATCCGTACACGTGAAGGCACAAGGACCGTGGACATGGAAACTGAGAAATTTCTTCGATCCTAACAACATGCAGATCAATGAAGTGCCAAAGGTTAGACAAAAATGAAATCATCCTGTCGTCTTTATTTCAGTTTTGCTATCATATTCTAAGTAATAAATTGCAGTTATTAAAGTATTTAACATTTATAAACTATTTCTAAAAATGCTCTATGTGTAAAAAATAGTAATGTAAGAAAAATACACAGAAGGTGTTTGCACTTTTGGAAATAATTTTCTATTTAAATGTTTTCTTTCGGAAACATTCTGAGGTAAAGATGTGGCATTTTCAATATACTCGTCTCTCAACAGCAAAATCAGAAAATATTAAAAACAGTATTTATTTTTAGAATTTCCAATAGACCTCGCGTCCTGGAGATAAAAAAAGATTTCTCCCGTATAATATAGCCACTTCTGGCTTTCAAATACGAAGTGCATGCTAACCCAAGAACTAATTTTGACGTTTCGTTCTCAACAATTTTGTTGCAGAGGTAAATTAAAACTCAAAAGAATGTCAAGTAAGGCTGAATTCAATTCACTGTATTATCGGCAAAATATCCTAGAACCAATTTTCGACGCAGAAATTCCAGCCTTTTATGGAAAGGACATCAATAAAGATGAGATTCATATGGGCAAAACTTCTAATCACACTTCTAAATCATCTGCATCTTTTTTACAAATAAAGAACCAGAAAAAGAACTAAATGTCCGTAAAATCACTTGATGCTTCCCTTGTGAACTTAAGCACTTTCGGTTTGTTAAATTAATCTTAGGTAAATGGCATCCAAGCATACTGGATAGACTTTGGAAAACGATCCGAGAGGAATAGGATGAAACTGACGTGAGGATGCTACGAAAAATTTACTTTTACACATAATTTGAGCTAGAGCATTAACCAGGAAAGCAAATCGGTACGAAATATATGCCCTTTATGTATAAAATTAATTATCAAAATCCTTTAAATAAAGTGCAAACGATCTTCCTTATTTACATCAATTTTTATTTTGCTAGTCACTTTGTAGAGACATTAGGCAATTTTCCAAGCAAAAGACGTTAACAGATTCTTCACCGGAACGTAAACCACGGACCTGTCGAATACGCGCCGAGCGTGCTAAGCATTGCACCACGAAGACATGCTAAGAAGATGGGAAATATACCTTATAACTTCATTTCGGAAATATATAATTTTTGGTTTCTGCAGAAGACTAACCTTTCAACTGAAATATAAATAATGAAGTTTCTTTATATAGATGCCCATAACAACTTTTAAAATTTGCATATTTATTAATACACACGGTGAGTCAGAATAAAATAAATTTTCGAGTGCCAATCAAAAGATTTTTAATCTAAGAAACATTCTGTTAATTAACTAGTATGCCTTTCGAAATCCATGATAACTACTGAATGAAAATCAACTGCATTTGATGTCTGTTATAAGTTCGCGAAAAAAACGCAGTAGCAATTTTTTCTAATGCTCCATCCCATGTTTGATAAGAGCATGCTGTAAGACGAACTAGTCTCGTACGAAAGAAGAATTTCTTACAATCTAGCTATTCAGGCCTTGTTTTATTTGTTTTGCGAAATGATTTATTTATACAGGTTCTTTTACTACGCGTTCACGTTATTCGACTTTTCACTAATGTGAAGGTGAGGAATTTCATCAAACGACAGCTGCTGTTGAAGATTATATTTAACCAGCAGGTGAATTTTTATACAATTTTATATGTAAAGAAAGACGGAATCATTATACTGTTAGTTCCTAGCTTAAAGTTATAAAACAATTCATTTGTATTCTTTATTCACCATCAGGTAGATCGTTAATTTTCATTGTGCTAACAACTGAATAATTATCGAAAAAAAGTAATGGATGATTATTTATTTATAGCCACTAAGCTGTGTCAGCTTATAATTATTTAACAGGTTGTTTGATTGATTAACTGAATACAAATAATTACAATGTTAAATACTTCCGACTAAAAAAATTTCTGCGAGTAACTGATAATAAAAAATAACTGATAATAAAATGCTGATACACAACGTAACACTGGGATAACTGTGTTACGTTGTGTATCAGCATTTTAAGTTTGTATTTCTTTTATTTTAGATACCTCATAAAGTACGGTTAGAAGGCCCTTATGGAGGGGGTAACCAAGACTGGTACAAGTTTGAGGTAGCTGTGATGGTAGGAGGAGGAATTGGCGTCACACCTTATGCCTCCATTCTCAACGATCTCGTTTTCGGCACCTCCACTAACAGATATTCGGGGGTGGCTTGTAAAAAAGTAAGTATTTCCTAGTCAGCAAATGTTTTTCTTAATTCTTAAAACCTTTCTTAATTTCTAATTCTAAATAATGAAATAATCAAAAAATTTTTGAACAGTAGAATTTAATATCATCGTTTTAAGTATGTGTAGTGGAATTTCTTTCATCCGAACTAATTAAAGTCATAAATGGGTACGAAAATTAAACTTTAAAATAAATTATTAAAAATTTTTTGTTTTGCTGTATTCTTAATAATCATAACATAATTTTCTAGTAAATGCATTAACAGACAAGTGGAACAAAGTTTAAAGATAAGTTTATGATAAAAATATTATTACATAATTTAAACAAAAGAGAGTTAAGATAATTTTAAACATCTAATGAAAGGTAAATTTTATTTTTGTATTTTGTTATTTTTCTATTAATTATAACTTTTAAACAAAAATTGCATACCCTCAGAAATCTGTCTGGTCCAAGGACAATTTGGTTTCCTACTTTTGGGATGGAAGCTTTCCTTAACTAATGCAATCATAAATTATTGTATTAAATGTATTTCGAGTTGTACACCTTGGCAGTAATTCTCTTTCTGTTATTGACAGACTGTTTGGAAATTTTTCATTAAGAAGATCATTAGCATCTGCTTAGTTAAACTAAGATTCTTTTCTCATTTCAGGTCTACTTTTTGTGGATCTGTCCATCTCACCGGCACTTCGAGTGGTTCATCGACGTACTTAGGGACGTCGAGAGAAAAGACGTTACTAACGTCCTAGAAGTTCACATTTTCATCACGCAGTTCTTCCATAAGTTTGACCTGAGGACGACCATGCTCGTAAGAATTTTTCTTTGCTCATAAAACTGATCTCATATGAGTTCAAGAGAAAAATGCGGGAATGTATATAGCACTCATATTTACCAATATATCAATACTAAGAACGATTTAATTTTTTGACTAGGTTTTTATTGTTTTTCATGTTCCTCTTAGTGCTATATTTTATGCCTAACTTCACACAATTTCTGCTTCGCTACTAACAGTTAAATTTTCTCCTCCAATGACCAGACACTTACTTAACTGATGTGCATACTGTCATTTTCGCTTATGTTAAATATGAATGGATAACATGTAGTGATGGCAATTTAATATCTCAAATAAAAGAATTCCAAAATGCAAAGACTTGCTATGTTTGAAGGATTCTGCTTTGTTGCATGCAATCATTCTCAAAATTTCTGTCCTTAAATTATGACGTTGCAGTTACGTTATTTCACATTTATTTGCTACAATTGTAGAGAAGCATTAAACATGAAAAATGAGCAAATGCCCTCGCTGGGACTCGAACCACTCGCATACGCGTCGAGTGTGCTGACCATTGCACCTCGAAGGCATGCTAAGAAGGCAGGAGAAATACCTTATAAAATGCTTTTGCATTAAATTCACTACATACAGGTTTTTCCCAAATAAGCCCATAAATAAGTAAATAATGGATAATCTTAATATCTTAAACAATAACCCACTTAGAAAGAATTTAAAGTACTTTTGAGGTTTGTTTGAAAACAATTGTATTTTTAACACTTTACAGCTTTATTCGCTAAGATAAGGTGATAATTAGCCTGAAATTACTGCGTCAACATGAACATGTATAATTCAAATTATTTTGTGGAAGGAGGAGTTACTTAAAACCTGCCTATCTGAAAGGGCTAGACAAATCAATGAAAATAGAAAAGCAATAAATAGAGCTAATTAATTTTAGAAAAGAGCTGTCTAAATTTCACGACATACCGTTTGTCGGTGAACGCACTGGTATCTATTCACAAAACATAAATAAAAGAATAAATAAATAAATAAAATTTTTAAAAAAATTCAAATGACAAGATTTCGAACATTTTTGGAAAAAAAAATATTCGAAATTAAAATCAGTAATAAAATGTGACTCGAATTATTATGAACGCTGAAGACTCCAAGTAAATGTCCCACTTCACAAACTGAAGAGTTCTTTGAGATAATTTTAGCAGCACAAATATTAACAAATTGGTTAAAGAAAGAATATTATTCTTATCATTAATAAAAACTTATCAAATTCTAGTTTTCGGACCTTTATTTTGCCCCAAATAACACGAATCCTTAGGACAAAAGATTCATATCATTACTTCCTGTACGAAGTAAAGGCAGTATTGTAATCACGAAAAATTCCGGGTATGATATTTCAACGAAAATATCCATTTTGACCGCTATCAAACGCAATTTAACGATATTTTTGCGTGACATCTGTACTTAAGGGCAGGATAAAGGACTCTTTCCCCAAGCGAATCATAAAACTGATTTAAAACGGATTCCGAAGAGAATTTTTTGGCGTCTATACGTACGTATATATGTATGTATGTACCTCTCATAACTCAAAAATGATTAGCATCAGAACGTTGAAATTTTGTATATAGGTCTGCTATAGCATGTAGTTGTGAACCTCCGATTTTGGTGGCAATCGGCAGTACCAAATATATATATATATATACTTTTGGTGCGGCCGATTTGTGCGGCAGAGTGGGTATTTAGCCACTTTGTTACTCTGCTCAGTGAACTCAGGTTTTTTATTCGTGCATATTTTGCTTTAAAAATGATTGAATTATGTTGTTTTTATCTTCCGGTTAAGATTTTTATGCCTTTAGTTACTCTGCATGCAATATTTGTAGAATTATCAACAGTTTAAAAGTTGCTTAAGTGCTGCTAAACCTAATAATTATTTTACCATAGCAGACATATTTGTTTACGTTTGAAACTTAGCAAAATAGTTTAGTAATTCTTTCTACAGCTTCAGTTTCTTTTTGCCGAGTGGGGCCAAAAGGAAATTTTTAGTTTTGTGCACCGAAAATCTGCTTTCTTCCCCTCCGGTCAAATTGCTTGTTTTTGCGTAGAAACTTTCATTTTAATTTATTATTATTATTATTCTTTTAACTGTATTTGATGTTTTATGTTTTTTCTATATCTTTCAGTTTTTAATGAAGGTATTTTGAGTTTTTAAGTATTTTTGCCTTGCCGCGAAGTAAGAAATGAACTAATTGAATGAGAAATGTGTTCCTAATGAAATTCGACGAAATAAGTTTAAATCAAATTCAGGAAAAAATGCGTATGATTTAATATTGCGCACAATGAAGTCATGTGGTGTACACATCAGCTTTTTTACATAATGCAAAATTTTAAAGCTCTCTTAATTAGACTGGATGGCGTTAAATCGTATTGTTAAGGAACCGTATAATTTCCTGAAATGTTAATATCTGATATGGGATCTTTTATATATTCCAACTTCAAAAATTAAACTAGTTTTTTTGTGCATCATTAATTAATTATGATTTTTTTTCCAGTATATATGTGAGAATCACTTCCAGAGGATCTCCAACAGGAGCATGTTCACTGGCCTCAAAGCCGTCAATCACTTTGGAAGACCTGATATGACGTCTTTTCTAAAATTTGTACAGCACCAACACTCTTACGTAAGTATCGTTTTCCATGTCTGTGAATATTTAGATATTTCGATAGAGGTATGAAATGTGAAAATTATCCTCATATTCCATGCATTTATCTTGTACTTGAAAAAAATTCAGAGAACACTTTTTAATCCGACCATTTGTGCAAGTTATCGTTAAAAAAGCCTGCGGTAAAGCATCTTATGCAGGCCGTTTCTCCTCTAACAATAGTACATATCTCTGATGTGAATTATGCGAAGTGTTTCATGAAATAATTTGGTAATTTATCAATTTTTATTCAAAGTGATTTAAGCAAATACATTTTAAACTAGATGTTGCTTTTGCTTGAAAAGATTCGTCTGAAAAGTCGTCTTATTCGTCTTGATAACATTACAGAATTTTGTAAGGTGTCTATTTATTAACTCATTATCTAATTAATTTGTCTGTACTATAGTCAGCTTCTATCAATAGCAAATCAACAGACCGGCGTTGGCCTTTTGCTTGCCGAGTTTTTTCCTGTGATTAGAAAAATCTAAGCCTAAGCTTGTTAGGATTTTGGTTTGCAAAATTTCAGAAATAATTACTTTAACTTTGAATTTGCATTTTATGTTAGCTTAAATTCCGTGAAATAGTGGAGATTAAATTGTAAGCACAACCGAAGCAAACTGCTAATTTTAAAGTTTTATAAAAAGATTACTTAATCCCTCTTCTGTTTGGAGTAGTTTTAGTAAACGAGGGGGAACGGTTGCCTGGATATCTCACTAGAAATCCAGTTTTCAGTTTAGTGAGTGAGCGGTTCCCTACAGTTTAATTAATTAAATAACCAAATAATATAGATTAGATACATGACCAAAATAATTTAAACCAATAATGTATCAACTTAAAGGATAAAGTAGTTCATCAAGCTTACAGTGATTAAAAGACCTTCTCGCTTCCTTCACGTTCACGTGATATTTTGGTTTGGTTTTATTTAATAATGACAAAGCACTCGAAGGCTATCTGCCTAAGTGGAGGTATGCCTTCGTGGAGGACTTTTTAAGAGAAACTGGTTAGTATACACGTAACACATAGGGAAAACCACAAAAACAATAATATTATCAGCCCGCTCGCGGGATTCAAGCACTGAACCAAACTACAGTTTTCAGCGCCCACCCTTCACATGATACTATGAATTTCAAATGTGATGGTCATAAATAGAAGATATTGGGTCTGCAAGTTAGAGCAGCTAGTTTATAAGTTGAGGCTTTAAAAAAACAAATAAAAATCGTCAAATAGATCCAGTGTCTTATTTTTTGAATTGAGGTATAAAGGTATATATTGGTACAAAGAAATACCAAGTTTAAATTTTTCTGCTTCTAATTTTATATTTTTTATTTTAAAATATTAAAATATCAGAGAATGATTTGGAGCCCCTGAGTGTGCAGCAAGGGGGCGGATGCCCCGTTTGCCGTTTTGTAAATCAGAAACATATATCAAAGCAACGAGTCAAATATGAAAGAGTTTAAAGACTTTCAATAATAAATTTTCCTATAGTTATCGAATAAGGGTTAAGATTTCAGTGAGCCAGTTCTTTCACTAATCTCTCTGCGAATTCCGTGTTTCAGCATATGAAACATTTTATGTGTAATTCCTCAAACAACGGTTATTATTTTACGACATTTTTGATTTGCAAATGCAGTGTAAGAAGTTAAATGTTTTACTTAAATTAAATCCAGAACGTTTTTGTGAAAGTAAACTGTTGTGAAAAACTTCGTAATTGAAGTCACAAGTCTAGAATCAATATTTAAGGAAGCAATCCTTGTAGCAGTGTTTCTCGACTACACAGTACAGGGCTTAAATGCAGCCTAATCTCGGCTTTTGCGCTTTTCATGCTTTGAATAAAATCGAAATTGCAGCGGAAGGTCCTATAAAATTACCTGTAAAATTTTAATTTATTATTTAATTAGTGTAGCTAAACTTTTTTTCTCATTGTACATTGTTTACGCTTTTATCAGTTTCTACCTCTATATGTGTAAGAAAAGCATCACTCGTTTCCTGAGAGATATCGGCTGAGAATCTGATTGGAATCAGCTTATACTACACCCTCGTCTTTTTATATACTGTTACATTTAACTTTTCAAATACCTATTTCTGTAATGATAAAGGAAGTCATCAATAAAAAGGAAGGAAAGCAAATAGTCACCTCTTAATCAAATAATAAAACGTTGCAAATGCATCATACAAATTAGAAATGAATAGAATTTCTTTTATTTGACATGATATTTACAGCTTTATTTTATTCAATTTCTACTCTCACAAATATTTTTCTCTGTCCTGCAGGTGAGCAAAGTTGGAGTTTTTAGCTGTGGTCCATCAGCTCTCACGAAGAGCATCAGCGTCTCATGCGAAACAGTCAACAACCACAGGAAGCTGCCGTATTTCATCCACCACTATGAGAACTTTTAATAAAAACTGGCCTTTTCTGCAGGCTAGTTACTTGTGCCTTAGAACATGATAGTGCCACGAAGGTCCTAGAAAGCAATTTCAGTTCCAGAAAAAAAAGAATTTACAGTCGGATGCCTTCCTCCGGCGCATTTCGAGTTGAACTCTGGTCGGAAAATTGTTGCTTTCGCTGTGATATTCAGTTCAGTATAGCTGATGAACTTATATGAACTTGATATCTTCAACAAACTTTTACTACCGATGAGAAATTTTAATAAGGGTTAGATGTGCATATTTATTGTGCATATTCGCATTTTGTACTTTATGTTAGTATTGTAACTTTATTATTATTTATTCATTTGCTTAACTTCTGGTTCTGAACTACTAGTGATGAAAAATATCCGTGACACTTGTGACAAAAAGGAAAACTTGCGTACACTATTTCTGTTATTTATGATCGCCAAATATTTGGAATTAAGAGAAGGAAAAAAAGGAGGACCATTATTACATCCCTCCAGGTTTCGAAAGCAAAGTTAAGAAAGCCTCTGTGCAAAGACGTTTCACGAAATAATCGAAATTGCATTAAGCTTTAAAGCCTTTATTGCACGATGAAGCATTATGGAATAACCAATTCTCTTTCGTGCAGCCTATAATCTTGAAATTAAAAATAAAGAACCATACTTGCAGTAATTCGGAAAATGTAAACCGTAAAGTCTTCCATCAGTCAGTTATAATAACTGAAAATTATCCCGTTAAGTAAGGTTCACTTTTAGGAACTATGCAATATTTGTGTTCCTCAACCTAATAACACATGAGCACTTGTATGTCGTTCGTTGTTCGAGTACTTCAGTGTGCGATATAGGCTTTAAGAGTTTTGCTTCAACACTGAAGCAAGAATAGAACATTATAATGATGAGTCAAGCTATATAAGCAAATTTTAAAGAGCTCTATATATAATATGTGCTATAAATTGTTTCTGTTGGAAAATACTATCGACTATTTTATTGGTATCACCCAGCAGTTTCAAACTAGAGAGGAATCAATTAATACTCCTAAGAAGAACGTTTTAGAATACGTTCCTTATCACAAAGAATGCGCAATAGAGAAAAATGTTTTTCTGAATGTTCAATAGCATTGTTTAGTATGTACTATCGTTTCCATAAAAAAGAATTTTATTAAAAAGTTATTTGCTTATTATAATGTTACTGTTAACTTCTTCGGGATGAGCACCTTTGTCTGCCTCTTTTCAGATATACTTTAGTCAGACACAATTTGACTTAATTATAGAAAGAAATTTTACTTTTGCTCAAAATTTAAAAGCTTAACGTGTGTTTAAAGGGCCTTATATTCATGAATACTGTTAAAAATTAATTAGAAAGTTATTTCCAAAGTGGAGGATATAGTTTTCAAAACATACGAAACAAAACAAAATTTTTGTGCATTTTCAAGAGTTGACCAAAATTTCATAGTTCATATTATAAATCGTTTTCTAGTCAGTGTATAGCTTTGGAAAGTTACTTAATATTCTTTGAATATGCTTTTTCTCCCCTCGGAACAGCTTCAACACTCTTAAAGAAAAAATTGCCATCTTTCCTAGGCTAATAAAATATCTGCATTTATAAGTATACCATCAGTTAGTTCCCCTTATTTTCTTGGTTTTGCAACTTTGTGTAGGTGATATCTGGTATATGATCTCAGGTTTCCGATTCGTCTCATAAATATAAAAATTGGAACGATATGTACTTTCTGCATGCCGAAACAATGGACTTATTTACAAGAGAGAAAAATGACAAGAACTGAAAAGAATAGACAAAATTTTGCCATTACAAAAAACAAAAATTTAAAAAAAAAAATGGCAACGAATTGAAGCGTCAATTTTTCTATGCAAAATAACAAAATTAACTTTTAATATTACTTTTTTTAAATTTATATTACGAAATACTGACATATATTACTAATGTATGTTATTACTAATGGAAAGATAACTTACAAAGTTAAATGGCAGGCGTCTGAAACAGTTCTGATAAATAGTATTTTTTCCCTTTACCTCCGCCTTCAAAAAAAAGTAAATAAATAAATAAATTATTCTGGAAGAGTTGAGATTTTAACGATCTCCTAAAAGGGCTCTTTTAAAGTTTAATGCAGTCTATCCATAGAGATTGCCAATAGATATGGCTCAAGTTAAATCCTCCTTTTCTTGTATTTATAGGATATTAGAAGAATATGCTTTAGACTAACATAAGAACGTCATATATTTTCTGTCCATTTGAAACGTGAAAAAAAAACGTAATGTAATTCCATGAAAATATTCGATGTTTTAAAAATAACACATCGTGAATATAAATCAATCAGATTAGAAATTTAAAACTAATAATTTAAAGAACTTAATGCATAACTTTTAAATGGTTTAATTTGTAATTTAATATCAGTCAGATTACATATGAAAGAATAATATCTTACCTTTTTCCAAATGGCAGCAGGCTCAAATGAAAAGTGAAAAAACGTAAAATCATGTTTTAATCTTTAGCCCTTTTGAGCAAACGAACAAACTACTTCTAACTGGCTTGTTTTTAAGTTTTTAAATTTGTTTCTTTATGTCTTCAACAAACCGGGGGAAAATACGATTTTACTTTTTATAGCTTTCCAGAAATATTTCTTAAGATCTTCCATCTATCCATAATGGTTTTTAAATTTTAGTTTTTTTCATTCCTTATAAGAAGAATATGAAAGCTTTTCCCTCGGAAATATATAACACTCCTTTAATTTTATCATAATTGAAACACGAGTAACACACAAAGAAAATTATGTTTTTTACTCCTAGCCATAAAAGAGAAAAATGAGAGCTTTCGAAACGAGTCCGAACTATTACACACTTCCTCAAAATGAAGTCTGCCCCATTCACCTTTTTCTTTTAAACGATGTTTGTAAATACCGCGCAGAATGTATGAGAGTTGATCTTATATTATCATTCTAGTAATGAAAAGGAAACAAATGTGCAGGTTTTTTTTTCCTAGATGCATTCTTTGTGAAAAGCTGCTAAAAAAGTAATTCGAATGTTAACACATTTTATTGTATATTTATATGAACAAATAGTTAAATGAATGACAGCCAGTGTATAAATAAATGAAATTTTACAGCCAAAGTGCCTACTTCTGTATTATTACTCTCACTCATGCTTCTCACTCTTCAAATTATACGTCTATTCAAATATATTAAAATATCTATTATATTTTACAATGTAAGTAATTATCAAATTTTGTAATTTACTATAATTATCACCACAGAGTTCACTGCAATACAGTTTTCTAACTATTTTGACACTAAAGATAAATAAGGTCATTATCTGCAAATTTGAAATGAAGCGTTTATCAATAATATTTCAAATTAAAAACTCTGCTTTAGTGCATTTTGGCAAAAAACAAAAAATTATCTACTAAAAATGGTTTATTTTTATCTCTAAGGATTTAAAACATATTTTACATTATATACAGAAAAAGCACTCCCCTTATGCGTGTTTATGAAAGCATGCACAATATATCTTTACATATAAAAACAAAATTAAAATTCCAGTCTCAAATATCTCTGTAGTCGGTTGGGAAGACCTAAAAGTCCAATACCATCCGGCAGCTGGGAACTGGAAATCAGAGCACTTCTTATAGCACAACGGGATAAATGCTGTAGACTTCTGGGTTCTGGAATGGCCTGGAATCCTTCATGTTCATATTCCTCAAATTGGTCGCAAATAATTTCCACGAATTCTCTACTCCTGGTTTCTTGGAGCAAAACATTTCGCATCTCGTCAAATGAAATGTAGGCATCCGGAATGGATCTCCACAGAATCCGTAGGGTCTCCGGATTAAACGTAATGTCCACTGATGACCTCAAAGAACCTTTCAAATACTTCCAGAATGAAGAGATCTCGTTGTGTATGATTGTTCCGCACTTGTGGAAGAAGAGGATGGCGTATTACCCTGAAAAGAAATATTGATTTAGACAAGAATAAATAAATATATTAAGAATAAATAATTGTGTTAGCAGTCAAGTTATTTGTATTTTGATTTGAAGAGTAGAAGAATGAATAGCATTAAAAAAGCATGCATTGGATTTATTTGCATATTTTCCCCCTTTTGCGCTAATTTTTTCTGAAAATCGGGAGAGAATAATTACGCAGTTAATTTAATTTGCGAAGGATGCGGTCACAATAAAACCATAACAAATGAAAAGTATTAATTTGCAAACTATTCTTAACTGTCGGAATATTATCTATTCAAACGATATCTACATTCCAATATGAATATATATTAAAAGTAGCACTACCGATATCTAACAAGATATCTTCATTTCCACTTCCTGTTGCTTGAATCTCGCCCGCTATTATAGCTCCTCACTACTATTTCCTAACTCACAAATGATTTAATTTCATTTAGTGAAGTTTTGTACGCAATTGGGTATCTGGGCTACAAGCCAGCACCCCAAATCGAACAAAGATTCTTATTTCCGGATCACCTCACAACAGCAACTCTTTTCGGTATCTAAGAAATGTGTTTTAAGAAAAAGCAAAAAAGATAATTTTACAAGAAAAAATTCAATTCCGGCACGAGAATTAAATCGTAAGATTAAAAGTGTCGAGCTGGTGACTTGCGATTGCAACAAAGCCGTAGTTAAAATAAGTAAGTATCATCTTTTAGTTTTTGTAAAATATTAATTGTGCGAAACACTCAGAGTACAAAGACGATATCTGTATCAACATTGTTACACACTTTGGTGTCACACTAAGTGAGAAACCTTGCTGAATAAAAGTGCAGATTTACAGAATATCACAAGATACGAAGCATGATGCTTAGAAATATTTTTATGCTTATGAATTCACTATGGTTGAAACTTTGCTATTGCTACTCAAACTGCTGCCGGAAGAACTATATCGACCCCGCATTTTCCACACTCACTCATTGCCAATGTGACTAGAATATGGTTAAGAGGTTCTTTTAATATTGAATGTTGAAGCAATTTTCATCTGTATTTTTATTTGAAGTGCAAAACAAAACTCCCAGAATTTTTTTTTTTTTTCGTTTGTTTGTTTTTACTATCTCACAGAGCAAAAATAAATGTTTTAAATGAAGTTTAAACGACATTTTTAACAAAATCTCCAATTTTTTTCGGCAAACTTGTTTAACGTTTTAGACATTTGACATAAGAGAATTGTTGCAAACTGTTTACTGTTGTAAAAATAACTTTTCATTTCAATAATTAGACTGCTGACGTGACATTAAGATAAAAAGATAAGAATAAAGAAGTAAAAAAGAATGGTTTTACAAAACAAATTTCTATTTAAAACTCCTTAAATAATTAATGAACTAAAAGGATAAATATAATTTATCGTACAGTTTAATTTTAACAAGAGATTAAATAATTTTCTTTACAAAATTCACCTAGAATTTACTATTCCGAATAGTCATTTATGAAAAACGAAATCGAATAATTGAAAGCATTTTGAAATATATAAGCCATCATCCTTATTAATTTATCAAAGACGCCCCACGGTTTTATTATCCGAGGTATAAAACTGTGATGTATTTGTGAAACGAATTTTTAATCCTTATTATTTTAGCAATTTATTAGTTTTTAATCCTTATATTTATTATTATTTTTAAAATACTATAGCTGAGAGCGCCTAAGATAGTCATAAAGAAGGAAAAAAAGTATAATTGTATTGAGTTCAACTAGAGTAATTTTATAAAAATACTTTAATTTGCAATAATGTCTCTCATTATTTGAATGCATTTTTTATTCAAAACCAATCAGGCTAGAAAGCAGAAAAAAATATTCTTAAAAACTGTGTTTTTTGCTTTGAAATCTCGTAGTTGGTTATTGATTATCAGACTGAATAAATATAAAATTAAATACTCCTCCTTTATTGAATGAAAAAAGGCTGGAGTGAGGAAGTTGACAGAATTTAATTTTAGACAAGGGCTATACATTACTTTTGAATAGCTGAGTTTGTTGAATAAAATGGAAATTGTTTTTTTTTCCCCCGAATCGGAAAAAAAATTACAAGGACCTTTATCTCATGCATTCCGCAAACGAGAACACTGTAAGAAACATGTGAATTTTTAAAGGCGACCTCACATGTGACTTTAAAATTTTACTCACTTATTGCTCGGGATTAGGCTTCGGCCTGTTCCATCTTCACTAACAAAACAGTGTTAGTAATTGAAAACGCTTACATCTTATACGTTTTCAAGAAAGGATAGCTCTGTGTAGCCCAGGAACCAGAATATATATATATATATATATATATATATATGTTGTGAACGCGTGAGTAGATTCTAGTTCCTGGGCTACACAGCTATCCTTTGTTATATATATGTAAAAGAAATCTGAAACATTAACATACTGCATTTTACGAAATAGCAATAGTCTCGAGATTTAGCGATAAATATGCTTCATTTCGAACATGTCACCACTCCTGGCTTTCAGACTGCTCAGTATTTTAATCAAAAATTCTTTAAGTTCGCATAAAATATAATAAAAACCAAAAACAAATTCGAAATTCAAAATGCTGGCCTTCGAGGTGCACATATTCGTGTGCATTTGTGTATAGAATCTGATACACAGAGAAATTTTCCGCAGCTCGAGGAACGAACAAACAAACATAATTTATTCTCTATTACCTTATAGCAGAGATTAATATTATTATTTCCTCCTCCCCCTTCCCGCTGTACTGGAGGTTAACCCCTAGACATTATGGATACAAGCCATTTATCTCATTTGTCTATTGGTTCATACGACACTGCATATGTATTCTGAAACTGTAAGGTAGCTAACATAAAAGAATTCGAAATCCACTCGTATAAAATACACTAAATAGAACAAAGTGCTCATAAAAATGCACAAAAAGTGATAATTAGTACAAATAATGTAAACATGCAGAATAATATATAAGTATGCATTTGAATAATAAAATTATATCATGTATTTAGGCGCAGACATTTATTTAATTAAAAGACCTGTGATACTGTTGATATGCAGCTATTAAAAAAATATCAGTGTTGTAACTGAAAGTAAAAATAAGAATTTACTTATTCTTAAAAATAAATAAAAATTCTTTAGATATGATACCTATGATCTTAAAATTAGAAACAACTAAACTCCGCTTAATGTTAATTTCATGGCAGTTTGTAATTACAATAATTACTTTACAAATAATATTTATATAGGTAACTGCAATATCTTACTCCTTAATTTATCATGAAATCTATTTTTAAGTGGGTTTTTTTTTTCAGTTACAAATTAAAAACGTGCTCATTATAAACCTGTATTAAAATGATGGAGAAGGAAACAAAATTAAAACTTACCCGCTGTACGGATGAGCATTTCCATCATCATTCACAGATATCCAATATGTATACCCTAGGAGCCATAAGTCTCCGATAGCTATGTAAATATCCGTTAATCCGTAATTCAATAACACTAACAAATTGTGCAGTCTCCGCCGTATTAAATGTTGTACTTCAAGTCTAGGAAAGAGGTGACACATCCAGTAGTTTGTAGCATTATACCCAGCTTTTTTAAGATGAAGCAAAAGGTATTCGGTTATTTCTGATTCAATACAAAGTAACAATTTTGCTTCGACTTTCCATGAGACGCAGACCGTATGAAAAAGCTTCAGCCACTAGGCTAGAGTCTGGATATCTATTATCGTAGAGTATTTTAATTAACTTGCAGGCTATTCCTAACATTAGCCACTCTTGAAACTCAAGTACAACTTCAACAGTGTCGTCAACATTGTATAAAGCTCCAGACACCTCCGAATAATAGACAGGATGAAAATATTTTTTTACATAATAAATATAATTTCGGAGGTGCTTTAAGAAACGTCTCATTCTTTTCCTATCCATCTTTTGCTCTAACTTTTCCAACGAAATTCTTTGATAATCCATGAAAAATGTAGTTGACGCAGCCGATTTAGCGCAACTCATTTCTTCTGATGATCTTAATATTCGCGCATATTTAACATTAGAAGGAAAGAAGAAAGTAGCAGATCTATCTCGTACTTCAGCCAAATCCAGAACGGTAAGCAAATCTGTTAATTTTTTCTCACGAACCTCAGAAACACATATGTCTAAGCGAGACAACGATGAT